TATAGTAAACTCAGTCGGACATCCAAACATAATGAAACCTGCTCTAGTTGCAGCACATGTTACACCCGTACTTAAAGTATTAAATAAGTCAACAAAACCTGTTGGTGGTATATCTGAGTAAGTATCTTCAAAGGAGTATTTTTTACCATTCACAACAATAAAGTCTTCTGGTGTCAAAAGAGCAAAACAGGCTTTAGTCGTCATTGTGTTTAAGGTTAGTTTACAATATCGTCCTTGAGGACTTTGTAAGTTTGTTGTTATAGAATTATATGACTCAGGGTTTTTAGTCGTAATAGTATAAACCATTATATCTTCTGCCATTTATATATATTTAAAAGTTTTTCTGAAAGTGGAGAAGAACTTCATCTAAACTTTCACATGGCGTTTCTTGAAGTTCTCTGTCTAAGAAGTTCAAATATTTGTAAAGACATAGAACTTTCCTTTGTCTACACGAACAAACAAAACAGGGTCTTTCATATCGTTCAAAAGTGTGTAAAGTCCTTTACATGAAATAAAGTCTATATTATTTTTCTTCAAACATCTTTCAAGAAGTTTTGACATTTTTACTTAGCAAATAAATTTTAATGAAATGTTGTGGTCGTCAAATATTTTTATGACGTCTGGGAAACTACTTTAAGTTCAACGTTTCACCTCCTTTCATAACGTATATCTTGTCAATGACATTATATGAAACACCACAGCAACTAATGTCGGGTTCTATTCTTTGATGTTTATATCGTCTGCCTCTGTCAAAAGTTTCAATAGTTCTTTCAAGACTTCATGAGGTGCAATGACATATGAGTTCACTTTTACAGGGTTGTGTTCGACCAAGTTTAACATTATACTTAAAGCTTGACAAATCTTCTCCTGAGTTTGAAGTTTGTCTTTCAGTTGTTGGTAGTCGTTTCGAATATCTGCAACAGAACTTAAGTCTCTGCTAACTTCAGGATATGTTGGTTGTTCTTTTACAGGAACAATTGCTATACCATCTTCGTCTTCGTATGGTTTCCCCACTTCAACATCTCTGTCTTTGACATTGACAACAACACTTTGACTGTTTGTTTGAGTTGGTGAATTTAACTTCACATCTGCCACCGCCATTAAACCTTTTGAAACACTCACGCTTCTATTTTTCGGAAATGACATTTTACTTAGAATAAAAAGATGGACGTATTCGAGTATCTCTTCGAATTGAAGCAGAACAAAGTTTACACACACAAACAATACAAATACATTGACAGAATAGTTCTTTATACAAACAATGGTAAATGTTATAGAATAGCAATATTTGCTGAACCAAAATATTTCCATAAAGCAAAGAAAGTTGGTATAACTGAAATGGTGAAAGTTCTTGAAGCAGACAAAAATATAACTTCAAAACTTACAGATATTTCTAAAGGTAAGTTTATCTTACAATATTATGTCAAAAACAGGTGTCATAACTATTTACGATGGTGAGAAAAGTGTCAAAGAACAACTTACTGACCTGCTGCCAAAATCTGCTCGATGGAAGCTGTCGTTATGCCAATCTGAGGAGCCCCAGCAGGTTTCATCGAACGAATCTTCAAAAGAGCATCTTCCGTGAAAAGTGCTATTGGTTTTGTAAACTTCTTTGCTTTCAATTCATCTGGACCGTCTCTGTCACCAGTATATTGTATTTGTACAGTACCAACAGTTGAAATACCACCCATAAAGTCTTCTGAGTCAGCAAATGGAATGCCAAGCCAAAAGTTTGAACGGTCTCCATTTGTATATTGAGTTTTTTGACCTCCTGTATGAGTCCATACTTTCACATATGGCATAATAGAACTTTGCATTTCAGGGTTAATGGTTGTTGTGAAATTGTTGTTAAAGTTCATAGCATCTAATGTCAAGTTGTATGACCTCATATCCTCAACTGTAGAATATTCTTCTCTTGGATAATATTTGCCATCTATGTTTATATGATATTTAATACCGGGGTTGTAGAAACAAGAATAGTCATTTATAGTTCGTCTGAACAGTACAAACATAGTATCTGCATGTTTCATTGCAGTTGTTAAAGCAATATCTGTTCTTGCACCTGGGTCAGCACTTTGGTTTCCAACTTCACCTGCAAAGTCTTTGACAGATATTTGGTGTATAGGGAACATAAGTGGAACTGCAATATATTTGGCAGCTAAAGCATTTGAAATATCTGGGTCCAACATATAGACTGCAAGTCTGCTTTCTATTCTCTTGCATTCAAACTTTTCGCATGTGAACTTAACTGGGTCCCAAGCAGTTCCAGCAGCATTGAAATAATAGTTTACTTCATTGTTGAAGTTTGAGAAACCAAAGTCTAAGTCAACTTTGTCTTTGCAAAAGTCGGCGAATGATGTTTTATTTGTTCCCATTACGTCTGTAAGAGTGAATGGGTCTTGTGTTGGTGCAATGACTAAGTTATTTTTGCTTGGAGTAAGTTCGATAGAAATTTTTCCTGCCCAGTTTGGTAAGTATCTTAAAAACCTGAAGATGAGGAAAGATGACAAAGGAACTCTAAGTTTCAGTTTTACTTTAGTGGCAGCATTTCCATCTGAACCAGAAAGGTTAACATAAACTCCTGGAACGTTAGGGTCAAGTCTTCTTATTTTCTCAATATTTGCATACTGGTCTGTTTTTCTCTAGCTTGTGGTTGTACTGAGTTTCTCAAGCGAACCATTCATAGTTTGCCCATGTTACTGTTTGAACTAAGTCAGAGTTAGAATATATCTTATATCCCATGAAAACTTCTGGAGCATATTGGTATCCGACATAGAAAATTCCATTGCAACCTTTCTTGTCAGACAACTTGGCAGAAGGTTTTATTTCAATGTCTTGTTCCACGTATAAGAATGAGTTGTCAATAGAAATAATATGAAACCTGTCGCAAGCAATATCTACTGTTGTTGAAGAACCCTCTCCAAACTCACCTACGTTTCCATAAGAAACAGCAGTTGTATATTCGTAAGTTCCAGGAACTATTTCTGACCTTCTAATGGCATTGTCGCATTCGTTATACCATTCGGAAACATTTCCGTTCATGGCATCCAAAACTGTTGGCGTTATATTCTGAGCGGCGTACATTTCATATGGGTAAAAATATAGAATAGTTGGATTTATATATCATAATAGAACCCACTCGGACCAAGCTTTACTTTCTTCCTGACTGAGTTTTTAACTGAGTTTTTAACTCTTCTTTTTCCTTCATTGCCACTACTTTCACTAGATGAAGTTACTTCTTCACTACTTTCACTTTGTTCTACTCTTCTTCTTTGGTGTCGCTTTTGGTAACTTGCCCTCTGCTTCAAGTTGTTGCATCTTTGCCTCATGTTCACCTAGTATGTTGTAAATTTCCCATGTCCTTTTTGCCTTTGGGCTCTGGTCGCCCAACTCAGGTAACCTATATCCTAGAAAGATTTTGTCATAGTTTGTATTTGAGTCTTCGCGTATTGTTTGCATGACTCTTTCCTGAGTTTTCCGGTTCAAGCTCTTCAAACAGAGCTTGTCCATATGGAATAAGCTTCGTTTCCAAATATATGTTTTTGTAGCCATTCTGGTTTTCTTTCCATGTTACCAATAATATCTTTTGTGAATGGGAAAGCTTTTACCCAATGTTTCAGTCTTGCGTCATTTATTTCTGTAGTTGGTTTTATTTTGTCAAGGAACATGTTTTTCAATACTAACATTTCATTTGGTACTGTCTTTGAGTTTTCTTAAATATTCATCCCTTCTCGGTTCATTGTCTGCAAAGTAAGTTTTTATGACATTTTGTAAACTTTCGTTTGCAAGGTCATGTACAATAGGTTCTCTTCCTTCTGTCTCCCTAACTTTCTTTCTAAACTCTTCACCAAATATACCATCTCTATGGTTCTGTGTAGTTCTTTGAGATAAATGTTCTAGAACGTCAGGTGTTATATTTCCATCAGCCATGTTCATTTCATACTGGTCCAAAATATCTGCATGTTTCATATCTTTCAATGGCATTAAAGCTGCGCTGAAAATACCAGCTATATCTGGTTCACCATTCACTTCCATTGCGTCTACAACTTCTTGGAATTGTGGTTGTAAGTTTATGAACCACCTATCCGGATTAGCTTTATGACCCCATCTCATTGTAGTTCCATAGTCTGCAGAAACAAAAAGTAGGTTTGTTTCCATATTGGTTAGGTTCTGAATGAACTTTAAACAATGTTTCATTTCTATATGTTTTGTTGAAATTTAACCTTTTATTTCACCGAGTTCAGCCAAAGATTGAACGTTATATGGTCGTAAGTAAAAAGGATTGTTGTATTTGCGTACATTTTCTTTCAGTACTTCCATTCTATGCTGAATATTTTCATCTGATGTTGGAGTCTTTTGTATGTCGGCGAACATTTTTCGATATTCTTCTACTATGTCAGCTGAATTTTTCTTAGACTCTTGGAAAGATTCCATATTCTCCGCATACTCTTGTTGAGGGTCAAGATTTTTCGGCTGTTCCAAATCTTCATCTAGTTCTGTGAAGTTAGTTTCCAAAGGAGGGACTTGTTCGTTTCCTTCAGGCTCTTCTAGCTGTTGTTGCTGAACTATTTCTTCCATGTCTGGTTGTATCTGAACTTCTTCCTGTGGAGTTTCTTGTACCTCATCTGCTGGCATTTCATATATTCCGAGACCGTTTTTAACAAGTTCCCTATTTAAGCCATCCGCATTCATAACCCTTTCTTCTTTCGTTCCGTCTCTATTTTTTACGCGTTTCATGAAGATAGTTGAATTATCATTTATCTCTGACACCAAATATCTCGGAGTAAATTCATCCATGTCATTTGGATGATATGCTATTAAATCATATCCCTTAGCGAGCTTGTATTTTCCAGGTTTGAAATTATATCCCATTTGGTGCTGAACCATAAAGCTAAATAGGTTCGGGTCAGTATTTCCTTCCTTGAACTTTCTAATAGCTTCTTTATATCTGTCACTAAAGTCAAGAGTATCTGGGTAACCATAATTTTCCTTAAGCATTTTTAAGAATTCTTGGTTTCCTTGTTCTCTACTTCTTTTATGTCCTTGCTCTGTTTGTGGTTGTTGTGGTGCAGTGTTTTGAACTGTTGGTTGTGGTGCAGTGTTTTGAACTGTTGGTTGTGGTGCAGTGTTTTGAACTGTTGGTTGTGGTGCAGTGTTTTGAACTGTTGGTTGTTGTGCTGGATTTTGAACTGTTGGTTGTTGTGTTGGTTTTGGTGCATGCCTGTGTCTGTGTCCATGTGACGATGTAAATGTTTTAGGTAGTCCTGGTGCAGGTGCTTCTCTTGGAGGGTTTGGTGGTATATAAGTTCCACTAGCTAGTATATAAGTTCCACCAGCTGGTATATAAGTTCCACCAGCTGGCACATATGTTCCATCTGCAGCATAATGTCCTACCTGACTTTTCGTTCTTAAGAAAGCATTTACTAGGTCTGTTTTGGTCTGTTGTAACTCTTTTTCTTGACTTTCCACAACAGTTGCTCTAACGGCGTCATAGGCACTTTGAACTGCCTGTCTCGTTGCTGCATCTGTTATTTTCGTCATATTTTGTGCTACTTCTCTTAACTCGTTGTCGAAACCTTCAGACTTCAGTTTCTTTCCAGATGAGAAGTCGTTCACTAGTTTCACCTTACTATGAAGAGCTTCGAAGGCGTTCTTAAAGTCAGCATTCATTAAAGCTTCATTTGAACTGTCTTCATCCGCTTGTATTTTTGTCCTTATTGACCCTATAAGTTGGGCTGCTTTGGCGTTGGCTTGGGCATCTAACCAGTCATTATTAGCTTTTATATATTCTGCGCTTTTCATTGCCTTTTGCATGGCTGCGTCGTTATTTTTACTTTCTTGTGCTAAGTTTTCATACTGTACGGTTTGGTTTTGCAACTGTAAAAGTTTTTCTGCCTTTACATTTGCTTCAACTTCTTTTTTATACTCATCGCTATCCATATATGTCTTCAGGGCTTTTTGTTTTATTTCTTCATCTTTCAGTACTTTATATTGAGTAGTATGGTTTTTCAAATTTATAACATCTTGTTCCATTTTTGCTACTTCTGCTGCTTTTTCTGACACTTTTTTCGCATATTCCTCTGTACTTAGTTCTTTCAGTTGTTCTTCTTTCTTCTTTTTCTCTACGTTTAACTCATTGAGTTTCTTTGTGTGTCTGTCATATTCTAGTTTCTTTTCGTTTTCACTTATTTGTTTCTGTATGTCTATGTTTGACTTTTTGACATCTGTTATTTGATTTTTGAGTGAACTCAAATTCATTTGACTTTGAGGGTTATAAGCTGTTCCGTCTGCAGCTCCACCATAGCCTGCCATTTTCGCTAAAAGTGCCGCTCTTAAACCTCCACTCTGTGCACCAATAACTCGGCTTAAAAGCATAGGGTTGCTTGACATTTGTTGCAACATAGTGGGGTCATTCATCATTTGTTGTTGCAACTGTTGTTGTGGTGTCAGTTTTACTATTGGATGTTTCAATGCTCCCTTCCTCTTACGTATATTCTTACGTAGCTTACGTGGCATTTTAAGTGAAGTTAAAAAGCGGTTTTTGACAGATGTATATATGACACTTTTTGTTCAGCACAAAAAACTACTCGGTCAAAGTGTTGTCAGTTTTGTAAAATAACCGTCCTATCTCCGTGCCTATGACGATGAAATCATGAAAATTCAAGAGGGTGAGAAAACAGGTGAAAAAACGGGTGAGATCTCACCTCTTCACCTAAACATTATTTTTGGGTCCTTTACACTCATTACGATGAAGTCTTGACAAAACATTTTACGAAGAAGTCTTGACAAAACATTTTACGAAGAAGTCTTGACAAAACATTTACGAAGAAGTCTTGACAAAACATTTACGAAGAAGTCTTGACAAAACATTTACGAAGAAGTCTTGACAAAACATTTACGAAGAAGTCTTGACAAAACATTTACGATGAAATCATGAAAATTCAAGAGGTGAAAAAAGAGGTGAGAAAACAGGTGAGATCTCACCTCTTCACCTAAAATATATTTTTGTCTGATTTTACGAAGAAGTCTTGACAAAACATTTACGAAGAAGTTTTGACAAAACATTTACGAAGAAGTCTTGACAAAACATTTACGATGAAATCTTGACAAAACATTTACGAAGAAGTCTTGACAAAAACATGAAAACATATATAAATTGTGAAAAGTGAAACATTATATAATGTTTTCGACCCAGAAGACTAACAATTTTCCGAATAAAAACTTCATTTATTACTAAACATCATCAGGGCTAGAAGGCACGAAGTGCCTGGAAGCCCCACTACCTTTTTTTTTTTTTTTTTTTTTAAATACTTGATGAAAGTACATGTAAATTGCATTGCTATAGGAAACACTGCAAATCTCTATATAAATTGGAAAGGTACCCCCACTTTTTAACCTTAAATTTTCGTGAATTAAGGGTGTATTTAAACGCCTATAAGTCCAGCTATGTTGGATGACAATTTAAAAGCATACATTGATATGTTTGTATAGGACGATAATAATATTTTCACCAATACATATTTAGATTATCCTGAAAAATGTTTGAAGATATTTCGAATTAAAAATCAAAGTTGTTAATTCAAGGTTATACTTTAACAGTCAAATATATACGTAAAAATAATCGATTTCCTACCAGAAAACTCATATGTTAAATTGTTAAATTTCAATGCTCAAAAACTGTTAATGAAAACTTTTTGCCAATCTAAGAATGAACTCATATAGTCATGTGTAAAAGCATATCCAATTATAAAAGATTTTCGTCTGTATCATTTTGAGATACGAAATGTATTTCTATCATAAAGTTCAAAATGAGGTCTAATATAATTCAAACAATAAATTATATGGAAAATTCTTATTGAATCAACTATTAATTTTGAGAAGTTTATCTAATAAATAAATTCAATATTTCAACTTTTTGTACATTGAACTCTTAAAGTGATAAAAATTGCTTCTAAAATAAAAATAATGCTATTAATAATAAAACAAACAAAACGTCTTTTCATAAATTTTATATATGCTAGTTGGCTTTGTTTTTGATGTCGAATCTCAGTTTGAATTGGATGTTTTAAAGTCGACAATAGAGAGATGAAAAGAAGACATCTTCTTCAGTTTAACCTGATTTCAAAAAACTGGAGAATATCTTCTCAAGCGGAAATTAATGAAATTTAATTTTGTAATAAAAATTGTTTATATGTTCGTTTTTTAAAAAGAAAAAACTGAGTTCCCTAGGCATCGAACTTGTGTTCCCAAAAAAAAATTAATAAAATTATAAATTCAAGATTGATAAAGTATTAATTACTAAATGTAAAATGAAAAACAATTGCCGATTTATTTTTTCGCTTTGGTGAATTTTTAATTCAAAAATTGTAAAACATGAAAAATAATATAAAATCTATTAAAATTTTGATTGTTCTTTATCTCAAGATGATACAGACGAATTTTTGATTACTCAACGCATAATATCTTATAATGATCTATATAATCTATAGCCTTAAAACCAAGTCGAAATTATTAACAGTTTTAGAGTGGGGGTACCTTTTAAATTGGCAGAATTTTTGAGAAAGCCAAAATTTTCACAAAAAAAAGTAAAAACATTTAAAAAGTAATGGAGGAAGAAGACGAACTCTTCTGGGATCAGCATTCCAATAGTTCTGAAGAGGAATTCGAAGGTGATGTTGATCTTATAAATGAAATTTTAGATGAAATTGAATCAAAATATTCCTTTTTTAACTATGTTGAAGATGATTTGGTTGAATTTATACTTTCTCACGAATATGATTTGGATTTACTTGTAAAATATATCGAGAATGGTCAATTTGGCCCATTTACAATCAGACAATACGATTATTCACAATATGAAGAGGATGGTGATACTCAGTTCGATGATGATGGCCAAGATAATAGTGAGACAACAGAATTTAAAAACAAAATAGCAGAAAATTCTATACAAATTTCAATAATTGGCCCATATAAAAGTGGCAAGACAAAATTAATTAACAAAATTGCAACAGAAGATAAAAGTGGAAACTTCACATTAGATCTTAGAAAGAAATCTTTTGTTTTTCACGATAAATTTATCGAAAACTCTTCATATATTGTTATGATGGATGCCACAGATACAACTAACGAATACTTTGATATCATGTCAATATATTTTGAAAAATTACAAAAAAATGATAAAATTATCATCGTATTCAACAAATTTGATTTATCACTTCAGAGGACAAAGAGTCGTACTACAAAAAATATGTTGAAATGATTAAACCAATTTGCGAAGATTTCCAAATTCAACCAATTGCCTTCATACCAATTTCTGTTGCAAAAAATATGAACATTAACTCTTCTGATTATAAATTTTCTGGAAATTCCTGCTTATTTGATATATTAAAGTCATTATAAATTTAATGTTTGTCTTTGTTTTGTTTTTATATAAACATATTGTTTGATTTTGTTAAATAGTCGGTTAAGTTACTTGCTTTTTATCGCTTACGAATTTTTTGTTTAAAATAAAGATAAATTTTTGGAAATAAGTAGCGCTTTTGACTCATTGAGATAAATGTACCTGGTTTGGCTTGTTTCTTACTATTTTCTGAGATATAACTTATTGGTGAATTATTTATTCTCCCTCAATCAATTAACTCAATTGTAGATTTTCCTTTTTCAATAGTTTTTGAACTAAAATATACGAATAGGAGTACTAATATTTCGGATATATTGATTCGTATAATAAAAATCTAATACAACATATAATTTTTTGAATTTTGAGAGTTATAGTGTGTCATTGCATATTGCTGCTTTCATTCTGCTGAAGGAAATGTCTTTTAGATGGCTGTTGGGATTAACTATCTGATAAATTAGTAATCAATTAGATCATTCTTGGAATCTAATGGAAACCATTTTTGTATATAACAGATCATAAATTTGAACATATACTGTGAGTGTAAACATGCCAAATGCATTCTAACATATGTTTTAGTAGTGTCAAATCATGCCAAAAATAACTGGCATTTTTTGCATCACGCGGAAATGATTTCTTATACATTGCCATGGGATGAGGTACCTATATTCTAAAATTGCATTTTTTGTCAATTTACATCTGGCACCTCATTCAAAAAAAGATCGATAAAAAATCAACAATCAGGAATGGTTTACAAAGTCGGAAAATTAATAAAAAAATTACAATATGTGAAGATTCAGAAATTGTATACTTTACAAGTGAAAAGAGACAAAGATATAGAATCTAATGAAAGGATTCAAAAGCTTAAGTACCCGTAGCAAAGAGACCAAGTCAATCAAGACTAGAGGTGATCAAACAAGTATGAAGAAAGCAATCAACATCTTAAGAAGGAATTGCAAAAATTTAACAATAGATCGAAAATATGAAGCAATGATTGAATCCCAAATCAAGAAACATACTGCTAGGGACTTGCCGAAGATAATAAATGAATTCTGTTACATTGCAAAGCTCCCAATGCTTCAAAGAGATACTTGTAGGGATAAAACTTTATTAAAATATCATTTCCTTTATAATCAAGAAGTTTATGGACCTATCATTAATTCTTTGATAATCAAAACACGCCAAACTGCTTTAAAACAGCAAGCACCAGAAGAAATGGAAAAGGAGAGTAAAGATCTTCTACTTAAAGCTTTTGACGACTTAAATAATGGTAATACTGATTGTTTGAACATGATTGATCAATTGAATGGGAACCAAACTAAGATATCTTATATAAAATATGGAAACACGTGGGCAGTTTCGATTCTTTATGGAGAAACTTATAGGTATAAGTTGCTGTGCACTGTTTATTATGATGGAGCGATGATACTATTAAAAACCATGTAAAATTTCCAAAAGCTTTACCTGATGATAGCAGAAAAGACATCGAAGAACTGGATCTGAATCATTTGGTTGATAGTCCAGCAATAAATATGACTGAAGAGTTGGATGATGATCAGCTATTTTCAAGCTTTAATCAATTTCTATTGTAAATAGCTGTCTTTTTTAAAAAATTAATTCATTATTATGTCTGAAACTTTTGAATTTATTAGATGAATACTATTCTTAATCCTTAGATTCATATTATCATTGTGTAGAAAGATTTCTGTCAAAAAGTGCTCAATTTCTCTGAATTTTTTGAGAAGGTTCTCAAAATCACAAATCGGAAAATTTATAACAGAATGATGGAAATTTTATTTTTGTAACGAATGATCTTTATTTTTATACGCAATTATATCAAATCATAAGATTTTATTCCTAAATTACCAATGAATTTTTCTAATTTTCAAGATTTCAAACTACAATATTTTTAGGAATTGTTCATTCATTGAATACATCATTTTATTGTTATTTCAGTAGATTTTGATTAGCAAATGTTTTCTATTTCTTGGTAATATAATTTCAAAATTTTATTAAGGAACATTGAAGCTATTTATAGGCTCTTTTAATCATATATACTGATAATATAATGAATGAAATTAGAAATACTGATAGAATGTTGATATCCAATATAGAAAATTTTATTCCCAATTAACTATCATGCATTATCATATTATTTGAAAAGTTCTGAAACACAATAACCTATTTATTATACATTTAGCGTAGTTTAGCATCATATTCAGATCAGATCTTAAATACTCTACAAATCAGAAATTGTAAGGACAAAATTGTATAGCCATGTTTGCTTTAATCAATCATTCATATAATTTTACCTCAAAAAGAGATTGAGAAAAATCATCAAGGAAAGTAGCAAGTTTTGAAAAAGGCTATTGTTATTCAGAAATATCTGATATTTGAAATTCTTGGTTAGAGTTTCGAAACAACAATTGACGAATAAAATAAGAATTTCAAGGAAATGTACTTTGATTTATGTAAAATATAAGAAGGAATGTTATGTTACCTTGAAATCAATGAAAAGTTATAGATGGTCAAGTCGAAGAAAAAATATGATCAATTTCGGACAAGAATTTTAGATCTAATGAGCTCTGGATCATATAATAGAGCGCATATTGCAAAATGGTGAACTGAACAGCTATGAATAACATAATTTATAAATGAAAATGGGGCGTGAAGTGAAGTAACATTTCACAAAAAATAGCTGGCATAAATTGAGATGACGATGCATTGTGTATCTTTATCATTATTCATCCAACGAATAGCGATCGTAAATTGATAAAAAAATAGCCGACCAGTTATCAAACAATTTTTCTCGCCCCGATGACGCAAACGATTATTTTTAGTTCAAAATATTTCAATGTTTCAAAGGAGATCAGCAAAATTTTCGATTAAAAATTATTGTTGCATATTATAAAATAGATCAGTAAAATTTTTGCTTTCAAAAGCATTCATTCAATTTATGACCACCTAAAATGTGAAATAAAAATTCTGAACTGTTAAAAGGCGGTTAAAATTAAACTTCATTTTTCCAATGGCTGTTTCATACAAGTCACTTGGCCTCGTCAACTCAAAGGATATCTTCGCTAAGGCTGTCAAGGGTGGTTATGCTATCCCAGGATACAACTTCTCCAACCTTGAACAACTTCAGGCTATCATCACAGCTTCCGTCAAGACAGAGTCTCCAGTTATTCTTCAGGTTTCTGCTGGTGCCCGCAAGTACGCTAACCAGACAATGCTCCGCTACATGGCTCAGGGTGCTGCTGAATTCGCTAAGGAAATCCACCCAGAGCACAAGCTCATCCCAATCGTTCTCCACCTCGATCACGGTGACTCCTTCGAGCTCTGCAAGTCCTGCATCGATCTCGGCTTCTCATCCGTCATGATCGATGGTTCCCACTTCCCATACGATGAGAACGTTGCTCTCACAAAGAAGGTTGTCGAATACGCTCACTCCCGCCCAGACTACGTTACAGTCGAAGGCGAACTCGGCGTTCTCGCTGGTGTTGAAGATGATGTCAAGGCTGAAAAGCACACATACACACGCCCAGAGGAAGTTCAGGACTTCGTCTCCAAGACAGGTGTTGACTCACTCGCTATTGCTATCGGCACATCCCACGGTGCTTACAAATTCCCACCGGGCACAAAGGCTGAAATCCGTCTCGACATCCTCCACGAGATCGAGAAGAAGCTCCCTGGCTTCCCAATCGTTCTCCACGGCTCATCATCCATCCCACAGGAGTACGTCCAAATGGTCAACAAGTACGGTGGCCACATGCCAGAAGCTATCGGTATCCCAGAAGCTCAGCTTCGTGAGGCTTCCAAGTCTGCTGTCTGCAAGATCAACATCGACTCTGATGGCCGTATGGTCATGACAGGCACAATCCGCCGCCTCTTCGTTGAACACCCAGAATGGTTCGACCCACGTCAGTACCTCGGTGAAGCTCGTACAAAGCTTACAGAGATGTACATGCGCAAGGATAAGGAAGTCCTCGGCTGCGCTGGCCATGCTTTCGACTAAATTATCACTTAATCTCTCTTTATTATAACAAATCATATCTTTTTTCTAAGTTTGAAAACAAAACTCACATTTACTTCAAAGATATCAAATTAGGTGTAGAAAACCAGACTTTTAAAGGAAGAAATTCTGTCATTTTAAGCGAAGTCACTTCATAACTTATATTTGGTTTTGTTTGTCGGTTGAATTTTTGAATCAAAATTTGAATTTCCAATTTCCAGATTTAATATTCAGTCATATAACTTGAGTAATGATGTAGATTAATGGTATTAGGTTTCAATATCTCCACTTACTGTTTTTGGTGAACTTTTCTCTCAAACCTTTGTGACAAAAATCGATTTGTCGAAATTATATCATTCACATGCAACACAATAATTTTACCAATTTATAAATTACCGATACTAAAAGTGACTATTTTATTTGGATGCAAAGTTTTTGGTCAAAGACAAAGGAAACACTTACAATTGGCGTTGGCACAGTTGCCGATATGACTGGTGCTAAAAAGCTTCCAGCTGATACTGATTATACTGAAAGATACATCACTTTAACGAAAATTGAAGAACATTTGAAATCATTAATGAAATCGCTTGAAAGCTTTGCAACATCTCTTGAAAACTTTGGAGATGTTCAAGCCGAAATATCAAATCAATATGTAAAAACATTTGAAAATGACAAAGGCGAATTTCACGATTATTCTCTTCAACTTGACAATGCTGCCAAATCCTGCAAGGATACAATCCATAGCTCTAAAAAATTATTCCTTGCAACAGCTGTTTCTCCTTTGGAAGACGCTTTGAAAGAAATCGACAGACTCAAGCATGAATCAGATCAAAGAAAGGAAGCATTGATTCTTCTCAACTCTCAAGAACAGAAGTATAACAAGTCTGTTGGAAAAGGAAAAGTCGGACAAGATGATGAATCAAAACTTCTTCAAAGACGTGCTGAATATCATAAGCATCATCATGAATTCATTACTGGTGTTGATGCTCTTGACAAGAAGAAGGATGAAATCTTTGGAAAGGCTTTGAGTGAATACAAGAAGCAATTGAACTTAGTTGTTTCACAAATGCAAAAGAGCTTTGTCCAAGAACTCAAGGATGTTCCAAATTTCCCAGCAGTTGACAGCAAATAATTTTTTATTTTATTACTTTTATGTAATTATTGTTCTTGACTCAGAAATACATGTTTAAATAAATATTAAAAACTTACCCAATACAATTTTTAGTTAAAACAACAACTTAAGATTATAAATTTAATACTTTTCAAAAAACTTAATAATGTATATCATCCCGTTGCTCTGTTCAATATAGAGAAGATAATATTCGTTATATCAGAATTGAAATGAAGTTTTTTTAATACAATCTCATATTATTTAATAAACGATTAGCCAAAGGAGCCAAAAACATTAATTGTTGGTCAGCAGATATTCAATGAATATATACTTTTTACTAATATCAATAGAAATAAATAATAATAAACAAAATAACAACTGAAATACATAAACTTGTGGAACAAACAGTTATTCAGTGAATGAAGAAAGGAGTTGGATTATTTTCTGACTCTTAGCGTAACCCAAAGGAACAAATCCAAGTGTATAACCTCTCTTTCTCACATCTGCGCCATGTTCTAGAAGCAATTCAGCATTGTCATATCTATCGTAGTAAACAGCAAGATGTAAAGGAGAATCTTTTCCATAAGGTTCTACATTGGCGCCAGCATCGATCAATAGAGCAAGAGTTGATAAGTTAGTACCCATTGCAGCAAAATGCATTGCTGTCCATCCTTTTTTGTTCCTTTTTTCAAGATCTATTGGAAAATCTAATAAATATAAAAGAAAATCGTTCTTTGCATACTTAGCCGCAATATGTAAGAGTGTGTTGCCAAATTGATCTGTTTTGTTGATATTATTTGAATTCTTTTCAATATATTTTTTGAAATCTTCCAAATTTCCAGATTCGATCATTTCAAACGGATTTGGCTCATGAGAACCCCTTTCTGATGAATCATTTGAAGCGTTCTTGCTTGCTTCTGAGTCGATTGATTTAAATCTATCTTCGAAATTCTTTGTTGATAGGGATTTACTGCGTTGTTTAAACTTGGAAGGTGATGTTTTGGCTTCAGTTAGATCATCTTTTGAAGTAGATTTAATCGGTTTTGGTGAACTTGATAAAGAGTTATTAACGTCTGATGTAGATTTGAATTTTGATAGTTTCTGAGATGGTTTTGAGTCCGAAGATTCGTTTGTTGGGAGAAAATCTAGAATTTGAAGTCCATCACTGCCGTAAGCTCTTGAAACACCAGAAACAATTAGTGATAATGATTTAACATCTAAATTATCGCATTTTGAAGCAATAGAAAACAGTAAATTTAATGGAAGAGTATAAAAAACGGGTTCTTTACAGTACTCGCCTATGTTAAGTGCAATTGATGCTTCTAATCTAGATGTGTCTTTTCCTTGTTCGCATATTTTTAATAATCTACGAATCACGGTCGAATGAGACATCTTCAAAAAAATAATTAAACGTGCACCTTAAAGCGAACTGCGGAACGTATTTATCTATAAATGATAAATATGTATTTCTCTGTAAAAAACGTTTTCAACAACTTTTGAAATGTGACATAACAAATTTTCAAAATTTTCATTCAATTAGTAGCTCATTGAATTCAGTCATTTGTTAGGTTACTCCCAAGTAATAAAAATAACAACCGTGTAACAAAATAAGGTTAATAATTTCGAGTTTTTATGCAATGATTTTCAAAGTTATCATGTCGCACACTTGGGAATTCAACATTTATAATGCAAAACCTTTACAAGATGCATGAATCTATTTGATTTGGCTTATGGCTTAGTGTTTAAACCAGAATTATTATATCCTGTTGTTAAACCATAAAATTGTATTACTTTAATCTAGAATCCAAATCAAAACTATTTAATATTTGAGATCTTCCTTTATTCAAGAGGTAGGGCAACGATAGAAAATTTTTGGAAAAAAAGTTCGGAGATCTTAAACGTATCATATTCCCTGCATGGTTTGGTATCTTCCGCCATGCGTTGTGCCAAACATATTGACACTTTCCAATAATTAATTTATGGTATGAGTCACAGAGTTAGATTATAAAAAGAAAGTAAATAATTGCAATTAGAAATCATATATGTCGGAAATCAAATGTTGATGAGCAGAAACCTTTTACTCATCATAAAAGAGATAAATCACTAAAGATTTGTATACATTAAAATTTGATATTTGGTGCTCGAAAACTGTCTGATGGGACTCCTCCAAAATGAACCAATCTATCGCTGAGGACCAAATTAGATGATGTGGATGGTGTATTCTCTAATTCTAACTTAGGAAGAATGGGAACAAAACGAATGACGACAACAACATGTCAAACATAGATTAAATATCTATGAATCAATAAAGTATACGTGCATTGAAGGTGATAACGATCACTTGAGGCTTATAACTCTTTGACTAAATTATGCAATAATTAAATATAATCATTTTTATATTTTTATACTGATAGTAATTAATATACTATCCTGCTTAATAAATGGTATGATCAAATTTGTTTGAAAATTTAATTATGTATATGAAACTATGTCTTCTATATAAAAATCAAAATTTTCGGACGAACCTAGATTGAACCTTTATGAAAATCTATCATTTTTGTTAATTGAGTTAATATGAATCTTTTACATATGTATATATAGCATTGATAGCTTATATAATCATGGTTTATTCCATATTAACATATTTTTTCAGTTAAATTTGTTAATAATATCATGTAACAAATTAATTCAAGATTAGAATGTCTACAAAATGCTAACAAATAAGAACAAAATACGATTTCTCGACTTAAATTTTAATATGGAGTAGTTTTTCGTTTAAATCTAATTAAAAATGAATAAAAACTTATCTTGTACTATTTTCATTCAAAGATTTTAATAATGTAAATCATGCATTTTCATAATTCAGTACAGTTCTTTTTAGAATTAAAGTTGATGAGGATGATATTTGTGATTTAAAATAATTTGTTAATGTTCACCTTTTATTCATCACCTTGTGGTATGCCCTAAAGCAATAGCATTATCAATTCTGCTGAATTGATCAACTCAAAATTCCAAAAAAAATTCAAAATTTCAAAAATGAAATTAAACAATTTGAATTTTCACATGAAAAAATCAATTTCGAAAAAAATTTGGAAAATCAAAGTATTTGATAATTAGTCAAATAATCAATTTACATCGTTTTTACTCATAAAAAACAACTAATTTTTGATTTTGATATCATATTTGATAAATACTCATTCCAGAGTTGACGTAATGTATTAATTATTGTTAGAGATATTGCTTTCGCAGCAAAATTCTTATTTCATGAAAGAAAAAAAAAATGATTTTATTCCAACAAAAACAAGTAAACAGATGAATGGAAACGTACTATATTTTCATAAATGTAGTAATCAGCGTGTCAGCTTTTGTTTATCATGTTCGAGTCAAAATGTATTAACTTGTAATAAGAAATATTCGAAGATTATATGAAGTATTGAGCATTCTTTGTAGAAATATTTGTAATTCATTACTAACATATATAATAAAGTTGTTTTTTTTTCCTTATTGCAATAATTTTGTCTGATTTTAATAACTTTTCATGTATACGAGTTGTGTGAATATGCATCATAATATGCGTAAATATACTTATTTGCGACGAATAATGTGGTTGCATAATGGAGGTGCTAAATTTTGATTTTTAATATGGGGCTTTGGTATGTATAATCATGTTCTTATCTCAACGTAGGAGTATTGGTGCAATATGATTAAAATTTACGAGGTTGATCTTAAATTGAATAATTCTGGAGTATAAATCACAATGCAGCTAATTCTATGTTAAAGATAGATACAGATTGTAGTAATCAATTAGGGAGTACAAATTCATTCTTTCATTTCTGTCGTATTGAGCAGAAAGGAAGAGATCATAACCCTAGGAAAAAAAGCCCAAATTTGTCACTTTTCATAGTACGTTAAACTCAATTCGCTCGGCGAATGCCGAGCACACGTACTCATCATTCAACATAATATTCTCATTCTTTGGTTATTATAGTGCCAGACAACACAAGATTTCAAAGAATTACTTGAGTTTTCAATTAATCTTAATCCGATTTTAGATTTATCGAGAACTCCATCATCACAATCACATACTTCAGTGCGGTAACTACAATTATCCATATACAGAAGGAAGTTCTTTTCGAACAACTCATTTGGAGTCTGTTTTGGAAAGAACTTCTTTCTGTCCGACTTAATTTCATAGTTCCTGATCAACCAAAAGACAGAAACCACACACTATCTACTTAGGAAAGGAGTTCTTTCTAAATCTTCCTTAAATTGAGATTTTACGAGAGATAACCCTTCTATTGCACTTAAAAATGAACATTTTGATATCTTTAGTATCACACATGGTCATATATAGTATTTCATCTACATGAATACATTCATCTTTCGAAGTCTCTCATTAAATGGGAGGCTTCGAAAGATGAATCGTTTTATTCATACAACTTTAAATCTCGAACACATTTAGAGAGTGAGTATATCATTTTATTCTTGTTTTGAGTTTATTCTGATTCAAAATTGCAGTGAAAACAGAAGTTCACACATCATATCTGAATGTGAGCTCATCTATACTTATACGATCTCAATACCTCCACTCTAAGCATAAGAGGTGAAGTTATATAAAAATTATCAGATGCGTTGAAGTCTCAAAAGTATTGCCTGAATGCTTGTTTCATATTTGTCCAAGTAGTTTCAATGAATAAATGTATTGTTTTTTATAATTTCGATTTATTTTTAGAAAATATTCAATATAAACCTTTATTGTGTTATTTACATCTCATAAATTCTCTGTCTAAATCATATAAAAGCGCGTTTTACCCCTATGAATCAAGAAATTCATTCAATATTCATGGTATATTTATTAAATTTATACGATTTACTAATAATCAATATTATATCCTCATAAATAGCAATATATTTTGGTAATCTATGATAATCATATACAATATTTGAAATCAAATTTTCATTAGTTTAGGTTCCTTGTTAATAGTAAACCATTATATTTATTACTAATAATAAAATCTATGTGTCGTATTGAAATTCAATAAAATTACTTATTCGGTCCAAAAAAACAAATTAGATAAAATTTTTCTTTTTTTATGTAATTTTTGTTTTTCATTTTTCTCAAGATCCTAAGTTATGTTCTAACTTTTGACATCATATACTATCATGCTAGGCTATATATTATAGCATATCCAAAAGGCAAGGAAATCTATCAGAGAAGCCTTTTTGACCTATCGTTGCCCTACCTCTTTTATTCATGATTAATTTTATGAAATAACTCTTTATTTTCCAATCAACAGCAAATATAACGTGCCTCTGTTTTTCCAAAATTTTCCTGATTTTAATTTTTCAAAGAAAAATTTGTCATTTTGTATTCGGTAAATATTTTTTTGAATTTTTTTTGGAATTGAAAAATCATAATAGAACGAAAGCAATGTGATCATCACTATCGATTTGATGTTTACCCATTGAATGAACATCAAAAAATATATAAATATGCGTTTTTATTGGGATTTTGTTTCAATTTCGATGGAAAAATTGATTTCAAAGAATTTATCACTAACATTGTGATTGAATCAGTAATACACTTGCTATTTTATAAGCTTGCAGATTATATACACATTTTTCATTATCTTCTACTCCTATTGCTGCCCATATCTATTTAAACATTAGATTATTGTAGGAATGAAACATGTTTCTCAGGTTCCTTCTAACATCTGCATGATACTCATAAATAAAGCTTATTCAGAGAAATTTTGAATATGAGATGCAGTAATGATAGTTTCAAAAGTTGTCCTTGCCACTATCATTTCTAATAGAGCTATTTATGGCTGATACAAAAAAATAGACGTACAATTTATATCGAAATATTGACATTATAAACATTTTTGCGTGCAAATACGATAAATGATTAGATTTACAAATATAATTATAAAATCTACGTTCAAACAGTATGGATATATCGGAAAATTACATCGTTAATTTGAGACACATTGAAAAAATTGTGAGAGAGATTTTAAAAGATTGTCGAATCATTTCAGAGTCAAATACCATATTTACAACAACATATGAGATACAATGATAATGTTAACGACTAAATGGACCATTCCTAATATACATTAATAGAAAAGGAGATGAATAAAAATAATTGACAATTAAATATTGCGGAAAGTATTAACAAACTAGCTACAAACATGACACATTTATATAGAAATTTGAAAACGATAGTTCTGAAAGACAAATGGAGAGGATTATTAACAGGTTGCAAAAAATTGTTTGAAATGGATATGTTTTGTATGATAAAATCGTTAAAGAATCAATAAAAATGTACAAATTGTTATTTCATTAGATATTTGGAAAAATCATTAAATAGAGAGAAGTATACCCAATTTTATCATCAGGTCAAATCAAGCATTTCTAACGTGAGGTTCCCGTGGTGCAGCCGGTTAGCACTTTTGTCTTATAAGCAGACGGTCGCGGGTTCGAGCCCCGCCGGGAACACTTTTTTAATATATTTTTTTGTTTTACAAAATTTTAAATCTGATCCTACTCATTTTTTGGATCTTCGAATCAATTTATTGAGTTACATCAACATGTGAGAAACATCTATTTATTTGTGGGGTAATTTCACTTAAGAAAGACTTCATTTTATGGATAAATCAAAATATGAAATATAATTATTATGGAACTCATAAGCATAATGTAAACCATTATCTACCAAAGTTGAATAAAATTAAATGGAAAATATTAACAGTGAGCTTGTTTGTTATAATAAAAATATCTCTAAATTTTTAACGTTTTTCAAACAAATAAATAAAAATAATACCTACTGCTTCAAGAATGGGCATAATTCTTCAATCAATTCATTGCCACCGATTGAATCTGTACTTCCGATTATAAATTGAACCTTTCCGTCGAATTTTGCAACTTCCATCTCCTTGAGGAAGGACACTTCTGTCTGTGTGACTCCTCCAACAAAGAAAACAAGGATTCTTCTGTGTTCAGTTTCATCAATTTCGACATTTTCACCAGAAATATTCATTTTTGCGCCGGTAACTGTATTAGGGAATAAATACTGAACATCACTAATGGTGTTTGTAGCGATTTTCTCGCAAATTCCAGTAGATATCGGAGTAAATCCGAAAGTTGCAATGGAAAGATCAGTTTGCGGCTCTTCGCAGAACAAATTTAGCTTATTTACAATCGAATCGAAGTCCCAGCCGAAGTTTTCAGAAGAAATTAATTTCAATATATCCAAATTCATCAGTCCTTCTAAGGCTTTGCTGCCAAATTCGGCCAGCACTTCATTCTGTATTGACGGATATATCTTTGTAAGTCCTCTCTTGTAGCAAAACAACGAATCAATTATTAAAATTCTCAAAGCTGCCTTCCAATCACCATAAATCGAGACAAGACGTTCAGCAAACAATTCTGCATTAACGGAGTGTTCGAACATATGATAGAAACAGTTGCAACTCTTCAAAAATATGTTATGATCAATTTCAACAAGTAAACGATTGAAAATATCGTTATTTCTTGTAAATATCTCTTTCTTACTATTGAATTCCTTGGCCTCGTCACCTCCAATTCGTGCTTGGTTCTTAAGACTTGAGATATATTGTAATCCTGAGTTTAAGTCTTTATGTCTGTATTCTTTGTAGATTATATCTTTATCATTCATAGCAATAGTGATGTTCGATTCATTGGATTTGGTCATCAGACCGTATTTCATGCCAAAATAATCATAATATAGTTGTTCTATGGGTTGTGCTAAAGATAGAGGTGTAATTAAATCGGCAGTACGATCAAATATAAGCAATGAATGTATATCTGGTGAATCTGTCTTCTTTGTCTCAGTTTGGTCCAACATTCCTTCCATTAAACGTTGAACTCGTTCAGCAGTTTCTCCAACCGTTATAACATGTGGTATTCGACCGTAGACATATTGAATTTTTGCTAAAGCACGTGAAGAGTTGTAGAGATCTGTTGTTTCATGGAAAAGGAAGAGTTTCTTGAAAGCATTGTTGCATGGCATGAGGAAGAAATCATTTTCTACTGGAATAAAATCGGCAGGGAACTCGCCAACATAGACTTGTGCCGATTGAAATTTGGATGGTTCGGAAACTATCTGTAATTTGTATTTTTCAAGCACAATTTTAGCGGTCTCAGTAAATTTTGGAATGATTAGAAGTGCTTTTCTTAGTTTAGGAACATTCTGGAACTTAGTACAGATTAATTCCATATTTTCTGGATCAGAATTTGTAATTGCGATAACAGTATATGCATTTTCTGTATTAAAGATTGTAGAAAGTGGCTTGAACATGATTCCTTTAACGGATGTGAACAATTGTGTAATATAATATTGAATTTTTGGTGGAGATGTAATAACAATATCTGTACTTGATGAAGCATTCAATTTATCTCTAAAAGCTTTAAAGACTTCAATGGATGCCTCTCTAAATGAATCAAGATCAATGAAACTCGTCGACATCGCAAAAAAGTGACAAAATTATATGATTTATTTATATTTACATTCATTTTTATGAGGATTCTTATTAACTATTATCATAGAACTAAAATATAATAAAAGAATTCGGAATTTCAATATTTTCAAGATTCGATCACTTTGAAACTCGGTCATATTGAACATTTCAGCATTGAATACACTACTACATACCTAACTAAATATGAAATCCAAAGTTCATTGCAATAACTGTCAGGCCATTCATGAAATTTGAAATTTGCTGCCTGTGAAAAGATATAAATCGAAATTAAATGTATTTTACAATTAATACAAACATATGTATTATATTTTGTTATAATAAATTCCTATTGTTACAGGCAAGTGCAAAATCATTTCGCAAAAATTTGAATGAAACCGTTATTTAATATTATTTTACAGGTGAATAAAAATATTTGTAGAAATGATACATTAGTTAAATGCAATAAAATATTTCAAATTTTTCAAGTTTTGATAGTATTATCAAATTGAATTTGCAACGATATATATTTTATTTCATTATTCTGTTGCTATATATTGCATAATATATGCTATTTGCATTACAGGTTTTATAAGACAATTTGATAGCACAGACCGCTAATATAATGATCTAAAATCGAAAGGAAAAGATGTATTATTATTTTATTTCCATGCCAAAAATAGATTTGATAAAATAAACAAAATAACGTTGTCGATTCAAATTTCGCATTCAAATTTCTGTAAATAAAATAATTTTTCGAGACACTGCTAAATCTTAACTCGAATTACAATTGCTGATGAATCTTTTCAGATACATTTTTATCACAAAAGAAATTTGAATGATGATATTTTAACCAAAATTGCAAGACTTTTTCTTCGGTTTCATTCAAATACAACTTGATAAAATCGTCATCGTATACATAGTGGCATAATTTGGCCTCTGATTTCTATTTCTATCTGCTCAAGTTAACGAATTTTTTGAATAGTTTTTTCGAACTAATATTTTTAATAGTATTCAAAATGAATCCTAGCGAATCTTCTGTATCCAAATCTACTTCATCAGTAAGCTCAATTGGAGTCAATAAGGATTCAGTCATACAGGGTAAGTATTCATTATCTGATCAGATTTTCCCTGTTTACGACCAAATGATGCAAAAAGCAATTCTTCCTAAATGGTTTTTAGCTTTTGTTGCTTTCTACATCATGCTACAAATACTAATAATTGCTTTTTGGGTTTATACAGAACCATTTTTAAGAATTAATTCAAAATATTCGAAATTTTTCGAAATATTTTTAAAAGTATTTATTTATGGAGATGCAATCCATTACACAGAGGTCAAAGGTCTGAATATGTACAGGACACTCATAGTATCACTTTTCGCATTCTTTTGGGTATTTTTTGTAATTTATTATCACAAATTAAAATATTCGATTCCCGTTCCACTTCTTTATATTACATCACTGATTGTTGATATATTGGTACCAGTATTTATCACACCTTCCGCTTATGTTGCATGTCATGGAATTGTAAACTTAAAATATGCTCATAACTCAACAATTATAGGTGAAATCATCATTGGGTTTATTTCTTATGGCATTACACTTATGAATTTCTCGATAACTACAACATTGAAAGCAAGATCCGTTGCTTTGACAAATCTAACATTTCCACTTTTTGACAGTTCTTCTATCGTTGTTTGGACGATAAGTACAACATTATGCTGCATTTTATCAGCCATATTAACATACTTTGAAAACTGGACGCAGATCATTGTTATCGTTATTCATGCAATAATTAGTTGTTATCTTTGTTATAGACTATTGTTCATACCATTTTATGATTTATATAGAAATGCATCAGTTTTAGCATTTGCAATCACATCAATCGTTCTTGATATCTATTCAATACTTATGCAACTCATCAAATCAATTCCTTATGAATACATTCCCTTCATTCTAATTGGATCCTTGATAATCAGTTTTATTTTTGCTTCAATATTTTATAAAAGGAAAGTAAAACAAATCAAAGAAGATTTGACTTTCAGAACTGACAATCCAAAAGCACCTGAATACTTAGCATCATTAAATATTGATTCAACACAATTACGAGCAATGGAATATATTGTTGTCGGCTTGACACAAATATGCGACTACTTTGTTGATGGATCTTTGACAGATTACATTATAAAAGTTGACGAATTTGAAGGAATATTGGCAATTTTATTACAAGTTGTTACATTTTTCCCATGCGAATCTAGAAAGATGGATGTTTTATACAAGAAACTTATTATGAAGAGAAAGCTTTCATTTGCAGACAGATTCTTATTATACCAAGTTTACAGGATTAAAACAAGAAGATTAGTAACTGATACAAAATCAACACTTGAAACATACACAAAGCTCAAAGCAAGAAATGATGAATGTAAACAAAGTATTAGATCATTTTGGGATTTTCCTAGTTGTAAAATCAATTACTTGTCATCATTAAGTATCACTGTTAATGACATTAATTCATTGTTCATTAATACAATCCAAGAAAATCCAAATAATGTCAGAATTGCTACAGAATATTCTGACTTTTTGATTGAATGCATGACAAATTTTGATGAAGCAATTAGACAGAAAGTCAAAGTTGAAAGGATTCTCAATGGCACAAATTTCAATGTTGATATAAGTTTCCGATCCTTGGTTAACAAATTCCCAAGATATCTGAAAGACAAAATCTTGGACACAAAAGGAAGATTGATAATGAGATTGAAAGAGAGGAATTCTGATCCATTAAATGATAATTCAAGCAATCAAAGCAAATCAGGTTCAAGCTCAAAAGAAACAAACACATCAACATTAACAGTTGATCTTGAAACGCAAGAAGTTGTCAGCAAAAGAGTTTTAAGAGATTCAAAAGTCAGATTGGCATTTCATCAGAGTATTCATACTTTACATCCTCATCACATGAAAAATTTAACAATCTTGGCAAACTCAATATTAGTGGTTTGCTTTTCAATCTTTATTGCTTATTATGCATATCAGAAGGATAAATTAAAATGGAGAAGAGATGCTTTTGTTGAATTCAGATACATGTCACTTGCTTTAGATAAAACTTATTATGCTTCATTCGTTTTAACTTTGGAATGGGCGAGAATGCATGACAGATATGACAACTCAACTGAAATCATGGGCAACATATCAATTGATTTTGAAGACAATCCTATTGCTAAAAATAAATGGGAGCCAGCTTATGAAACAATTTACCAAACAGTTGATCAAGCGAAAGATTTCTTGGAAACATTATATCAATCAATGGCAGATTCGGCAAGAACGGAAGATATTTATGAAATTATTCCTTTATTGCTGAAGCCTAGATCAAAGATTTATGCTTGCACTAATTATGAAATTTCTCATGATATGCCGGGTAATTTAAAGGACCAATTTGTTATCATTCATTTCTTCCAAGATAATTTTGCCGGAGATTTTCATGTAATGGATAAAGATATTCCAAACATTTATCAAAATGACTTTTATTGCCAGTTATTTGCCAATTCGTATATTCTATCTAAAAATGCTGAAGAATCAATAGAAAACATTTTAGACTATAGTGTCGAAAAATCTCAAAAATTGATTGATGATGTTTGGTTATGGACTGGAATCGGAGGAGGAATAGTATTATTTGTTACTTTTATTCCAATGATAATTATTATAATAAACTATTATAAAATTGTTAATGGCCTATTAAAAGTACTACTAGAACTCCCCAACAGTGCAAAAGAAGATGCCAAAAAGAGATTGAATATCGAAAACACAGACGAAATAGTAGAAACTTCAAACAAAACAAAGAAATCCAAATTGCTTGAAATCTCAATTTTCATTTATTTTGCAAGTGCAGCATTGATTACAGTATTATACTGTTTATCTGGTTTATATACATACTATTTTAATGATTTGATGGCAAACTTGTTGGATTGGTATTATATTTCTTGTGTAAGAAATGTTGCTTCTTCAGAATTAAGAAATAATATCTTACATATCATTTTGCTCAATGATTCACTACCAAATAAAATCATTCCACTGGAAGATATTTATCAAGCGGCATTAGATGAAATAGATCTACTCAAAAGATATAATCAATATCTTATTGAAGGAGGGAATAATTTTGAAAGATTTATTGGATTTGATGCCGAATCTGATAGTTATCAATTCATGGAAGTATGCGAACTTGGGCGAGATCCAAAATCAATGCATGATATGTATGCATGTAGTTCAATTGATAAACAAATAGCTTTTCTTACAACCAATGTTAGAGATATAATGAAAAATCCAGATAAATTATCTGGTGCAATTAATGATGAAGTAACTCAAAATGTAATGCACTTAATTAACAATCATTTCTATCCATTAACAGTTTTGGCCGCAACAAGAGTGAAGAGTTTATTACAAGACAATTTCGATGCAGGAATGAAGAAATTAACAATTTATTTAGTAATTGAATTGTTAATATCATTATTTTTATTCATTTTACCTTTGTTTATTAGAGCTGTAATCTGGGAAAACTATAAGATGTTACTTATGCTTTTAAAGCATTTGCCACCTCAAGTAATAATAGATACTCCAGAAATACTTGATTTCTTCAGAGAAAAATCAAAGCATCATCATACAGAAGCAATGACTATATCTAAATCCGTTGTTTATAATACTTCCGAATGCATTGCAATTACTAATCAGAATGCAATCATTGAGATTGTTAATCAATCATTAACAGCAAATATCAATATAACACCAGATCAAATACTAGGACAAAGCATTACAAATATCATTTCATTGAGTGAACATGATAGAATTGGAAATCAAATCCAACTAATGACAACAGGTCAAGGTTCAAGCGTTTGGCAAGATCATACAAAGCTCGTTAAAGATGATGGCTCCGAAGTTCCTTTTGGAATCACAATCATTGGAATGAAAGAAAACGAAGGCTCAGCTGATATTACATCTCTTGTTTTCATTTTAGAAAATGAAGAAGAAAAAATCAAACAAAAGAAGTTGGCTGAAGAATCAAAGGCAAAATCAGAGAAGCTGTTATATCAAATACTTCCAAAAGATATCGTTGTCAGACTTAATAGAGGAGAAACAGATATTTCTTTCACAATTCCTAGCGCAACAATATTCTTTATTGATATTGTTAAATTCTCATCATATGCAGAACTATTGACGCCATCTGAGATCATGGCAAATCTCAGTTTAGTTTTCGCAACATTTGATGGAATAGTTTCTGAATTCCAATCAATAACGAAAATCAAACTCATTGGAGATGTTTACATGGCTGCAGCTGGATTATTCCAAGATCCAAAGGAAGAGTCTAAGCAGCATGCAGAAGATGCTGTGAGATGTTGTTTGAAATGCGCAAAATCAATGGAAGAAATCAACATGAAACTAAATGCTTCATTAGAAGTTAGAATTGGCTGCAATAGTGGTGGCCCACTAATTGGAGGTGTCTTAGGAACTGATAAACCAACATTTGATATTATTGGTGATACGATCAATGTTGCTGCAAGATTACAATCAACAGATATACCAGGTAATGTTCAGATTTCGGCATCAACAAAAGAAATGATTGAACACTTAGATTTTGTGATTGAAGAAAGAGGATTAATTTACCTGAAAGGAAAGGGAAAACAAATGACATATTTTGTTTCTTTTAAGAATAATGATGGGAATAAGTCCAGTTTCGATTCATCATTTACTTTGAAATTAAATTGAAATTAATTTTTGTTATTTTTGACTAAACTCTTATTATAGGGTGTCCAAAGGTGCGTTTAGCACAGCGCTCTATATGAGACTATTAAAGGAGATATATGCTGATTATAAATATATAATAAAAAATATGAATATATGTATATGATGAGAGTAGTAGGATAGGATGGGTTTTGTGACTTTTCTTGTAAACGTAAGAATTCATACAATATCGAACGATTTTGTATCATTTTTTTTAACATATGAAGTAAAAAATGTAAGACATTTACACTCAGCCCATACATAATGTAATAAACACATTAAAAAAATTAACATTAATTTTAAAATAATTTATTTTTTATCTTTTATAAAAGAAGCTATATATAGATGATGTCAGATATTCCACGATTAATTAAACATTGTTTAAATCATGAATGGAATCAATGAAGTCATAATCAAAGACCTCATAAACGAGAAAAAGAAATTAGAAACTAATGATTATTTTTAAAATAATTTATTTTTCCATCTTTTATTTTGTATGAAATGAGCGTCAAAACTAACAACGTTAAAAAATTAGGATTCACAAACGAGGAAATAAAGGATATATTAGAGGAGGCGGGTTATGAAGTTGATAGATATTATTTAAGAAATTGTCAAAAATTCGCGGAGTTTTTAAATGAGTTTGATTATGATGGAAAAATGAATAAAGATGATGTTATAAATTTCTTATATCCCACATCTAAAGAAAAAAAAACCTAAAGAACCTGATGTTTTCCCCGAATATTATGAAGAACGAATTAAAGATGATGAATATGATGAAATTGAAATTGAAAGACTGGAAAAAATAAGAGATGAAATAGATGAAAAAATTAAGGAATTAAGAGAAGTTGAAAAATATAATGAAAATGAAGTAGAGGGTTTAATGAATATCCCAGCTTCAGAATCAGAAGTTCAGAAATCTCATGAAGAAAGATATAAAAATTATGTCTCAGAATCAACACAAAATTTATTAGATGGTGAAATAGATGAAACACTTTCAGAAGAAGGTACTAAATTTATTCGTAAACATAAGTTACAATTTATTGATAATGAAGAATACCCCTGTATCTTACTTTCACCACCTTTAGATTCCGAAAAATTCAAAAAAGCTCTTAAAAACGTGACATATGCAACTAATACGATTAAGAAAGAAGATCATGATATTTACACAAATTATTATTTAAATAAATGCACAGGTGTTGATAAAGTTTTTGATTTATTAGATAAAATATCAAAAGAAACCATTGGAACCTATAAAATTTTGTGTGATTGTGGTTTCATTATTGAAGATACCAATAATGTTTCATATGAAAGAACAGCACCGAAGGAAGACGAAGTGGAAAGGTCTATACCATTCGTTATTAAGAACATAAAAGATATGAAAACTTATAAGCATTATATTTATTCATTTATTTCAGAAAAAATGGAAGCAACCCATAAAACATCTTCTCATCATTTTATAGCTATTCATACATTCCTTTTCAAAGTTGTGAAATTAAATAAGACAGGAATTAGATTTAATGTATCAGGGTACACATTCTTGAGTAAATTAAAATGTATTCGTCACGTCGCGGATGATAAAAATTTATGTATTCTTAATTCATTTTATGGGCTTTAAAAAATAAAGTTTATTTTTATTTATTTTTTAATTTTTTTTATTCTTACATAAATGAACAAAAACGGAACAGCTAAAATGAATGATAATCAAATTAGAGCAGAAGGTAGAAGGTTATTTAAACGCTTCTATAACATTCCTGATGGTGTTAATCCTAAAACTCGTAGAAGCTATTTAAATGAAGCAATAGATGCATATGACGGGTTTGACATTTCATCAGAAAGTGAGAGATTAGCGAGAATGTTAAATGTTAATATTGATTTCTATTATTGTGATCCTCAACCAGAAGACGTGGACATAAATAAGGTAGACTTTCCATTAGTGGAATCAATAATGATAGATCCAGAATTTGAAACAGTAAATATTTTATTAACACAGAGTCCATGTGGAAAACTTCACGCTGACAGAATAACAGACGTTGAAGCACTCACTGGTTATAAAGTTTGTCCATTTTGTAAAGAAGAAGTTTATTCTATCCGTAATGATCCGAGAAGGAAAAACCAAAGAAGATTTTTAAAGCATTGTGAGAAATGTAAAGAAAATAATGGAAGATTAATTCAAGACGTTCAGTTGCAAAAGACACAGCAACCATATGCACCACATATTACGAAACAGAAGATATATCAGTGGTTATTAGCTCATAATTTGCAGGAATATTATCAACCGACAAGATATTATATTACTTTTGACTTTGAAACATTAGAGACTAAAGAAGAATTACAACTTTCTGAGTGTGCAACTTTGAATGCTTACTTAAAACCATTCATGGTATCATCAACGGTTAAATTAAATGATAAAACATATACGAAGAATTTTTGCTTAACTTCGAGTGATTCTTTTATTTCTGATTGGATTGAGTTTTTATTTTCAACCTGTTCATTAGTTGCCAAATCAAATATTGAACAATATGAAGAATTAATGAAGTCCCATACATTAAATGAAAAACAGAAGGAAGCATTTAAAGAACTTCTAGATGAGGAATTCAATAAAGTGAATATCATAGGTTTTAATTCGGGAAAGTTTGATTTAAATTTGATTCTTCATGATTTAAACACTGCAAAATGGAAAATAAAATCAATGCTGGGTTCATCTTCACAATTTAAGCAAATCATTGTAAAGAAAACAAACGTTCCATATGAATTGAGATTTATTGACATCAGAAATTATATAGCGGGTGGGACATTAGATCAATTCACTCAAGATTTCGGAAACAATAAATCACGTGTTAAATCCTTTTTCCCTTATCAATTCATCACGTGGGAAAATTACGAAGAAGAATTATATAAAGAGGAACCATTCACTCAAGATTCATTTTATTCAGCATTAACTCAAGAAACTATATCAGATAGTGATTATCAAATATATCTCAATGATGCTAAAAATTTTAAGAATAGATTAGAATATTTTATTCATTATTGCAATAAAGATGTTGAAATTATGATTGACCCAATCGATAAAATTATTGAAGAAACATTTGTTTATAAAATTGATATGCTTCATAATCTTTCTTTATCATCGAATGCTTCAATGATTCGTTACGCTTTAGCATATAAAGACTTTAATCCTAATGAAAAATATCCTGAGGAAGAGATAGAATCAAGATTTGAATTAACGAAAAAGTATTGGAAATATAAAATTGAATCATATAAGAAACAAGATGAAAAAGCAGAAAGGGATACTAAAAATAATGTTTCAATGGATGATTTTCAATACTATCACGATTTAATCCTTTCATCTAAATGCAAAATGTGTGGTAAAGCGTTTACATATGCAAATAAACCAACATTGGATAGAATCGATAATGAAAAACCACATACTAAAGAAAATTGTCAGTTAATGTGTTGTTATTGCAATGTCGTGAAATCAAATAAAGATGAAGATGTTCAACGTTTAAGAATCAATTTAAGAAATTATGCATTAAAAAATAATTTACCAATGACTTTAGATTCAGTTGAAGCTTATCACATTCTCCGTAATGGAATTACTGGTGGTCTATCAAATGTTCAACATCGTGTTAATCTTAAAGGAATCACACACATTAATAAACTTTCATATAATCCAGAAACTAAAACTGTATCAAATGAGGACACCACCAACATTATGACTCATTTCGTTGGTGTTGATTTTAATTCATTATATCCTTCATCATTTTCATCTAATCCTCATGATTTCATTCAATATACTGACCATAAAATGTATATGCCGGGAAGATTGAATGGTGTTATCATTTGTGATACAGCAACAAAGAAAGCAAAAGCACTGGGAATAATTAAGAAGAAAAATACTTTATTCGTGGCTGAAGTAAAGGGTCACATTGATGAAAAATACATTAATGATTACATAAACTTTTTACCGATAATAAGAAACTTAGATATTATCACAGATGAAAAAACAATTGGCAGTTTTATGTATAATTACATGAAATCAAACAATCTACCGGTTGACCAGAAACAGAGGAAATTAACTCAGTTAGCATCAACACACAACCAATATCAACCATTTTCATCTTATTATCTTTGGTATCTAATCGACAGATTTCATTTTATCATCGATGATATTCAATCAATTTTAACATTTACTAAAAACACTTGCTTTAATGAATTTGCGAACGAATTTATGAACGAAAGACAAAAGGCTAAATTAGAAGGAAATAAAGGAAAAAGTTTATTTTGCAAGATTTCGCTTAATGGATCATATGATTACGATGCAATGAATACACAAAATTACGCAAAGACTAAAATAATGAATGCACAGAAGGCACGCGTTGCATGTATGTCAAATAAGTTTAAAAACATAAGAGAAATAGGTGAAGATACGTATCAAATGATGCTCAAAGATAGATTTTATAGATGTGAAACATGTTTACAAGAGGCATTCTTTACTTTAGATAATGCTAAATACTGGTATTTGGTTTTCATTTATGATTTTATGTATAAATGCATGAATGTTAATCGTTTTCATTTCATTGAAGGTGATACTGATTCATCTTATTGGGCAATCGCTGGCGATCCAAATCTTCCTAACACTCAAGCATTTCAAGCAATTGTAACCGATAAACAATTTTATGATAAAAACATTTTCAAATTCGCACCATTTGATTTCTTCTGTTTTGATGAGAAATTTAAACCTAAATTAAAGAATAAAGCTGAAGAAAAAGCACATGAGAAGAAGTTATTGGGTTTAGCAATTGAGAAACAAGGTGATAACATGGTTGCTTTATGCCCTAAGTGTTATACATCATTCAACGGTTCAATTGATGGAAGTGATTTTAAAAAGATTGCACAAAAAATGAAAGGTGTTAGTTTACGACAAAATAAACAATTAACACCTAAAAATTATTTGGATATAATAAATGATAAAGTGATATTTGATGGTCAGAATATTAATTTACAACTTCAAAACGGGTCAATGACTCGCTTAACAATCGGTAAGACTGCATTAACAGGAGCACACACTAAGGCTGTATGTTGTGAAAATGGATGTTGTATGCCATTTATTTAATACAATTTAAAATTTTATTTTTAATAAAATGCCACAGAAGAGACAAAAGGAACCGTTAATAATGGTTTTGATACTATGATTCAAAGAGGTGGGCACCCTTAAACATTTATTTTATTTTTATATAAATGGATAATGTAGATTTAAAAATTTTAATTGATGATTTAGTATTTAATCAAAATTTTCTTGATTATTACGATTTAAAAGCATATCTCCAAAAACATGATCCATATATAACGGGTGATGATATGGATTATTATTATCCGTATTATAAAAATGAAATTTTGAAATATCATGATAGAATAATTTCTAAAATTAAAGACAAAATTAAAAATAATGAATATACAAAGGGAAAAACTAAATCACAACTTAAACAATTGAAAGATTTCAAAAATAAAGTATTAACAGAAGAAGATATTGATGAATTATATAATTTATATAATCCTGAGCCGCAAAAACAAAAGGTGCAAAACGCCCAGGTCCTTCAAACCATAAATGATGCACAAGCTTTAATTTATGATTCATTAGTTAAACCATATTCAGTCCGACTTTTAAATGAAGATCAACTTTTGGAATTCATCCTTCAACATAAACTCGAAGCGGGAAAGTATATCAAACCTTTATATACAGTATATTTAAAACAAATGAATAGAATACATCCAGAATTAATGAAAGGAGGAATGAAATCCAAAACTTCATCATCCAAAATCAAAGCAGATAAAATTAAACCTCCAACGACAGTACCTCTTCCTCCTTCAGTTAATCCTTCATCATTCACTTTATTATATCCATTTCAAACATTAAAGAAGCAAAAAGATTTTAAAAAGGATTTCAAGATATTAAATAAACCAATTGACCCGAAAATTCAACCGTTAAAGGAAAAATTTGGTCGCCCTTCATTTGCACCATATCCATATTCATACGAAATCGATCATCTGGAATATTCAAAAGGAAACGTTACTTATTTATTTGCCATTAACATTAACACTAGATATTTATATTGCATTTCAGTGAAAGGGAAAACAGCACAGGAAACAAGAAGAGCTATACAATACTTACTAGATCATGAAAGAGTAGATAATATAAGGGGTGATGGTGATAAAGGATTTCAGGCAGCTATGGCTCATTATTTCCCACAAATTCATTTTTACTTTTCATCCTCTCCATATACGTTTCATAATAAAATAGTTGATGCGGTAATGAGAACTCTTAGAGATGCGTTAGGGGTTAACGGTCAGATATACTGGGATGGAAATCATGACTCCATCATACAGCAGTTAGTATATTATTACAATAATACATGGCATAGAACTATAAACATGAAACCAATGGAAATGAAAAATGATATTTCAAAAGAATGGGAATATATTAGAAAGCAAATGGAAAGGTTAAATGATGTTAAACGTGAACAAATTAATTCGGGGCTCATGAATTTTAAACAAGGGGATAAAATTTTGATTCATCTCGATTATGGAAAAACTGATAAATCAATGACAAAAAGAAGACGAAGATTTGACACAATAGCTGAATTTGTTAGATATATTAACGGTAATGCATTAGTTGAAGTTGACAATAAATTAATAGAAATTCCGATTTATTTTATTACTCCATTATATTTAAATAATATTTAATTTTTTTTATTTCGTAAGAAATGAGTGACAACGAAGCATCCAAGAGTCCAGACGATGAATATAAAAAGAAACTAAACAGAATTAAATCAAAAATATGCTATTACAAAAAGAAGCCGCAATGCGGTGGGGCTGAAAACGATCAAGAGAGGAAAGAAATAATAGAAAAATTAAAAACTTACCGTTCAATCCTTAAACTGAGTGAAGCAAAAATAAAAGAATTTAATAGAATAAATAAATTGATTGGAAGAGATGAATTTAATAAAGATGAATTTTTAAACTCAATCCAAATTTAATTTTTATTCCTCTTCCGTCAATGGTTTCCCAAACCCTTCTGGGTTCTTCTTTCCATCATTACTGCATAACCACATCTTCTCGGTTTTCGTGGTTTGTTGTTTTTAATTAGTTTTTGCATCATTTTTATCATTTCCTCCCTTGTTATGATTCGTGGTAAATTTTGAGCTTGTGGGGTATCCATTTATATAAAAATAAAATTTTGTTATCAGTTATGTTATCGTTAATGGTTTCGGGTTATTCAATAATTAATTATTTTTGAAGAACTGAAGGTGTCACTACGTCACCATGTGTCACTCGGTTAATTAACTTCTCTGAAAAAATGAGACAACATGACATTTTGACAACACGGGGGGATTAATGAGGAAGGCACTTATGAAGCATTTTTGAATAACTGAAGGTGTCACTACGTCACCATGTGTCACTCGGTTAATTAACTTCTCTGAAAAAATGAGACAACATGACATTTTGACAACACGGGGGGATTAATGAGGAAGGCACTTATGAAGCATTTTTGAATAACTGAAGGTGTCACTACGTCAAAATGTGTCACTCGTAATGTTATCGTTAATGGTTTCGGGTTATTCAATAATTAATTATTTTTGAAGAACTGAAGGTGTCACTACGTCACCATGTGTCACTCGGTTAATTAACTTCTCTGAAAAAATGAGACAACATGACATTTTGACAACACGGGGGGATTAATGAGGAAGGCACTTATGAAGCATTTTTGAATAACTGAAGGTGTCACTACGTCAAAATGTGTCACTCGTAATGTTATCGTTAATGGTTTCGGGTTATTCAATAATTAATTATTTTTGAAGAACTGAAGGTGTCACTACGTCACCATGTGTCACTCGGTTAATTAACTTCTCTGAAAAAATGAGACAACATGACATTTTGACAACAACATAGGAGGAAGGCAAAAATAAATTCCAATCATACTTTATAAAGCTTCATTTACAGGTATTTCATCATCAGTAAATGAATCCTCATCATCGTTTGGTTCAACCTGTTTATATAATCCTTTCATTTCTTCTTTCAAAACATAACACCATGTTTGTTTACCATCTATTCTTCTCTGTTTCTTATCACATTTATCTTTAATGCTCATTTGAAAGTTTTTGTCTTTCATGTCTGATGGTTTGCAGAATAGAGCATTTTTACACGTCATACCTGCACACAATTCATCATAATGTGTATTTATCCATACATCTAAAGGATTTGTTGATAATTCTATTAAATCTTGTTTGGCTTCAGTCATCGGTATGATTCGTACATTAAATGATGAAAGGTCATATTGCATAAAATACGTCAGTAAATTATCATAAAATTCCTTTGTGCATGAATCCATTAAATTCTTGAAGTAATCAAATTGACCCTTAAATTTACCATTAACCCTTAAAACTACGTATCTTCTGTCTCCAACTTCAATTTTGACAGGGTAAACGTTATTAGTTACGAAAATGAAGTTTGCAACGTTCTGTGCAGTTCTTCTGGGTTGATTCTTTTCATTAATTCTAATCTCATTATCCGTAATAATTGATTTCAAAGCGTTGAAGTTTGCGAGTCTGTCTTCACCAACATTCTTGAGTTCATTAAGTACAAGAAACATTTTATTCTCAACTACTGAATTGAAATTACCCGTTAGCTCACCTATTTCAGTAATGTTTTTACATGAATAACCAGCGAGAAGTTCAGAAATAATGTCTGTAAATCTGTTTTTACCTGTTCCCTGAAGTCCTTTCAAAATAATTGCTGTTTCATTCTTGATTCCAGGATGTTGAATCATTGATGCAATCCAGCCGAGAAGGTATTTATACACTTCATCGTTATTATCACATATGGCTTCTTTAATGAAATTCATAAACATCTCAATTTTTGAGTAATCTGTTTTTTCGAGAATGTTGTATTTATAACCCTGAAACGTTGAGAAAACATCGGGGGAATCAGATTTAAAGCAAACACCCTTAACGGTTAATGAAGACAATTGATTTAGTAGTACATCCCATGCTGTTATTGTTTTACCTTCTTCTTTAAATAATTTAATCATTTTAAGTGACTCTTTCATGTTTGATTCAAGAACGAATGATATTTGATTCATTTTGTCGTGTATGTTGTAATCTTTCTGAATGAAATATTTATTTTCACAATCTACAAAACGGATTACACGTGATAAATCCTCAATTACTTCAGAACTGTTTTTATACTGATGATTTTCAGCCTTGCGTCTAATATCTGTTATCAAAAACGAGTCATCAAGTTTTATATCAAATGTTATTTTTGGCTTACGTAATAAAGGTAAAACGTATTCATCATAATATTCCTTTTGATATAGTTTTAGAATCTTCACCAAAACAAATGGAGAAGTCATTAAATGTGCATATCTACCACGTGCTTTTTCAAAATTACTTTTTGCATTTTCTGTTAAACTGCAGAAGTTATAAACGTTATCGTATGCTTCATTAATTAAATGATTAGGTAACGAATTAATTGCTTGAAACAGTGTGAATAATGTAACTTCTTTTTCTAAATTCATGTTTCCACCGTCATTATGTACTTCAAAATCACAGATGCCATCAACTATGCTTTGAGCTAGTTTATCGTCAATGTTTACATCTTTGTTTTCATTCATTATACTCTTTATTTCTTCGTTCTTTTGTTCAACTCTTACCTTAATATTCAAATCATTTAATATATCATTCACTGTTCTGGTTAATGTTGAATCGTAACTTCCACGAATGAATGAGTATGTATTGATTGGTTCTGTTGCATTCTTGCGAACTCTTGAATCAGCCATAACTACTAATGAACGCTTTGAATCATCAATAGAAGTCATTATATCAATATCATAATCATTGCAGGAATAACATTTAATCATTCTGTTCGAAACTGCATAGAAGAAATTAGTGTTGCAATAAATGTGAAGACCTCCTGAAGCGGTTTTAACGATAACATCTTTATCCGAAAGTTTTGATAAAATGTCTTTTCTAACCGTTTCTTTAAGTTCATCATTGTATGATTTATTGATATCGACATCTATAATCGTTAAATTTGATATTTTATTTACTAATAAAGCCATACCAGTTTTCCTTCCTCTTCCTCCATCATGTTTGAGGTAGTTGTGTAAATCAATCATGTTTTCACCAATTCTTTCGTTGAGGGTTTTAGTTTCTGCTATAACTAATTCCTCAACTAATGAATCAATAACTTTTTCATCAGAAACAATATAGTTGCTGTTGTTGTTTGTTGCTGTCATTTATATAGGAATAAAAAAATAAAAATAATTTTAAAACTAACTTTATTTTTGGACTGCATCATATTTCCAGTGATGTTGTCAAAATGTCATGTTGTCTCATTTTTTCAGAGAAGTTAATTAACCGAGTGACACATGGTGACGTAGTGACACCTTCAGTTCTTCAAAAATAATTAATTATTGAATAACCCGAAACCATTAACGAAACCATTAACGTAAACATATATTTCCAGTGATGTTGTCAAAATGTCATGTTGTCTCATTTTTTCAGAGAAGTTAATTAACCGAGTGACACATGGTGACGTAGTGACACCTTCAGTTCTTCAAAAATAATTAATTATTGAATAACCCGAAACCATTAACGAAACCATTAACGTAAACATATATTTCCAGTGATGTTGTCAAAATGTCATGTTGTCTCATTTTTTCAGAGAAGTTAATTAACCGAGTGACACATGGTGACGTAGTGACACCTTCAGTTCTTCAAAAATAATTAATTATTGAATAACCCGAAACCATTAACGAAACATATATTTTTGGTCGTTAATGTTATCGTTAATGGTTCATTTACTCACAATATTTTTGTACAAACGACCCCCAAACTTTTAACTTCTTTTCTGCAGCTTCAAATGCTATCTTAGCGAGTTCATATTCTCTAAATTCTCTCTTTAAATCTTCTTGTTCCCATTGGTCTAGTTCGTATGGAGAATCTCTATAACCATAACATATCTCACGTTCATGTTCTAATTGTTTTTCGTGCATTTTCCTAACTTCTTGTTCGAACAAAGGTTTAGCATTCTCCACTGTATCTTCGAGTTCTTCTTCATCTAATTTCTCATGAACTTTCTTGTCTATGGAGTCCATAATATCTTTGACATAAAATGCATACTTTACAGAGCACCATTCAGCAACAAAATGAACGAGGTCAGGATGTATGTAAATACCTTTGAATTCATTTATAACACCCTTAGTAAGCTCATAAAATGCTCGTTTTGAGGTCGAGCCACTTTTGGCTTGACCGTATTCTTTCATCCAAAACTCGAGAATTTCCTGCATTTTAGTACTATTGAGAAATCTGTTTAAATGGTTTAACCTTCCCGCTTCTCTTGCCATCTTTGTTGCATTAATGTAACCATCCTTGTCTCTACGTAAGACTTCAATACCATTATAAGTGCCTTTTGTGAATGTTTCGCCATTAGATTTGTTCGTGAATGTTTTTGCTTCGACTGACATTTCTGTTCTTTCATACAAAATGAAAAAATAAAAATAATTTTAAAACTAACTTTATTTTTGGACTACATCAAATTTCTTATGTTGTTGTCAAAATGTCATGTTGTCATCATTGAACTCTATACCATGCGTAAACTGTCATGTAAGGTGGCATGTAGTCTTTACTTTGTCCCGTTGTTTGCGTATATCCTGAAACGAAATGTGTATGGTTTCCTTCTCCCTGAGTGTCACTCCAGTAACAATTTATAGCAAACTTAACATCGTCTTTAACATCATATCCTTTACCTTTTGTCATTCCTGACCAATCCCAATATCTATGCTTATGCCAACCTGCTTGAGATGTACTTAAATCTATGTAGTGACTGTGTGCAGGTAAATTTTCACCCGAAATCGTTTTACTTCCACCTGTTTCCTTTGAAGAGTTTGCACAATACAAAAACCTGTCGACTATTTGTTCCCATGCACCAACACCAAACATTACTTGAGGACCTCTTGCATCCATAGATGTATAAATAGAACCTACTGGGTTCATTAAATCAAACATATGAGATATTATAGGATTGTCTCTTTTGAACTTAAAATATAGTGCAACTATTTCAGGTTTCTTCTGGTTTGTGTCAGAATATTTTTTATAATATAATCTTATGTTTTCAGGGTAGGTAAAATCTTGACTATAATATTTATTTCTGTCATCTGTATAATAATATACTATTCTCGTTTTTTCTATTGCATTATATCTTTTATATCTATAATAATCTAAATATAATGTTAGCTTTTGTTCATCTACATGTGGATTCAATCACGCGTTCGCAGCGATCGATCCAGGCTTGAAAGACATGCTTTAAATCATCATGAGAAAATTGCTCAAATTGCTCTCTTACAAAATTTTCAAGATCATCTGGACTCGCGAATTCGCGTCCTTCAGCTCTCTTTTTTAGCGTGCCGAATAAATAAAAGTCAGAGGGTGCAATATCAGGTGAATAAATTGGGTTTGGAACAACTTTGACATTGTTTTCCACCAAGTAATTCATTACCTTATGACTTTTGTGAACTCTTGAATTATCAAAATGAATTGCAAACTTTTGTTTTTGTTGTTTGGATTTCTCAAACTCATCAGAATTGATAATTTGAGTAAGAACATTGTCAATTAGATACTGAGCATTCATCGTATTAGGTTTTTGAAGAATATCAATTGCGATGATGCCATTCACGCCCCAAAAAACCGACAACATCATCATTGGTGTGTCAATTTTTTTCTTCGGGAATGTTTGCGGATTTTCATCCTTCGGGATCCACATGATTTTGGCTTCTGTTGCATATTGAAACCAAGACTCGTCCCCTGTTACTAAAAAGCGAAACTTCTTGGATTGATACGCACCCAATATAGAGAGGAGCTCTTTCGAAGATTGGACTCTAGATTTTTTTTGAACTGAATTAAGGTTGTGCGGAACCCAACGTGTATACGCTAGTTTGTAGTTCAAATAATTGTGCAGATAATAACTGACTGTTGTACGTGGTATCTTTGTCATCTCCTCTATCCTTCTGAGTGATGCTCTTGGGTCTTCATCTAGCGCTTGAAGAATTGCTTTGATTTTTCTTTGATCCGGCGATTTTTTGTCAATTTTTATGATGGGCGCCTTTTTGTTCATGAAGTGATACATCCTAGCATGATACGTTACAGTGGAATAGCTAGGAGCATCCATACCGAAGCATTTTACCAATGTCTCGTAGATTTTTTTACAGTCTTTGCATTTTTTTGCAAGAGCGAGGATGTTTTCTTTATGATTCATTAAAAAAATGAAAAAAATCCCGCCAAAATTTCCCGCGAAACCGCCTCTTGTCTCAAAATTCATTTTATATCCCGGCATGGCGCCAAAATACAACATACTCATCATATACATATATTCATATTTTTAATTATATATTTATAATCAGCATATATCTCCTTTAATAGTCTCATATAGAGCGCTGTGCTAAACGCACCTTTGGACACCCTATATTACATTCCTATCAAAAACCACTACAGTTGTTAGTAATGCTTTTGAAAACTGTAGTGGATTAAAGAATGTTTATAATATGACAAACGTTCCAAATTTTTGCTTTTCTGGATGCACGAAATTGTCTAATATTAAGTTTCAGAATAGTGTTGATACAATTGGAATAAATTCATTTAATGGATGCTCATCATTGACATCGATTAATATTCCATCATCTATAAGAATAATATCTGAATATGCATTCCATAACTGCAATCAACTCAGTTCAATTAACATTCCTTCGACATGTAATTTAGAGACATTTGCTCTCAACTCAATTGAAGGATGTGAGTCACTTCAAAATATCAGTGACTTTCAAAGTAGTAAATATGAATGCGCATTGAATACCATCTATTTCAGTGAGGATGAAAATAAGAAACAATTGATCTATCACTTAAGTAAATCAATTGATGAAGAAATCATCATTAAATGCGATATTATCTGCAAAAACTCATTTGTTGACTGTAACAATGTTGTCAACATCAGTCTTTTGCCTAATGGTGTTTCAATGATCGAAACTTCCTCATTCTATCGATGCATTAACTTGAAATACATCAGTTTTCCTTATTCTGTTGAAACAGTTCAATCTCTATCTTTTGTTGAGTGCAACAATCTTCGTTGTCCTGTAATTGAAAACCAAACATTTGAGTATCTTGAAATGATATTACAATCTGGAATCTCTAAAGACCTTCTTAGTTCATGCCACATAATTGAAATTACAAATGATTTTCATGATTCCTTCTCTTTTTTTGATTGTGCATATATTCTTACCTTATTCATATTGACAAAGATATAAATTCAAAAAATAAAAACATACTATTTTAAAAAGCATTTGTATTAATGCAGAGAATTATAATTTCTAATATTTAAGTTAAAAAACTCAAATTTAATAAATTTTTAATTTTGAAAGGGGATAGATTTAGAAACAATCCCATGAAATATGAAAGTCTGCCATAGAATTCAATTGTTAACTCGATTTTATTCGAACCTTCACATCGAGCATTGGAGAGTCTAAATTTTTTTTTTAAATTTGACAGCCAATTTTAATTTTAAAAACAATTTTTTGAATTTATCTAAGTGTCGGTTGCAATTTAATGGATCCAGATTCCTATGAAGATCATTTATCTTCATAGGAATCAAGCAATGAAGTGGCTCATCAATAATTTGTCCTTTTATTTGCAATCAGATAATTTTTTATACAATTTTCATTCTCAAGAAGGCTTGTTTGTAAGTTTTATACATGATAAATCAACAAATACCATATCAAAATTAGTAAATATTGATTTTTCTGCGAAATATTACAATCAAACTACAACCTGCAAGTTAAACAAAGCATTACTACATTTATTCGTATTTTTACTATATTTTATTGCTTATTACTGCTTTTTAATTATCAAAAAATATACAAAAGTAAGTTTAATTTATGATTTTCATTTTTTCTCTATTTGTTGTCAATGATATTGACAGTGATTGTTATTCAAGTGATGGTAAAACTCTTAACAAAGTCTCTGACAATTCATCCAAACTCAGAATTTCTGCACGATGTGAAACAATTAGTGATAATTGCTTTAAAGGTCTTAAAAGTTTAATTTCATTTTATTTTGAAGACAATCCAAATTTAACAAGTATTGGTGACAATGCTTTCAGAGAATGCTCAAATCTTCAATCAATCAATTTATCATCTTGTACAAAATTAAAAACAATTGGACTAGATGCTTTTTATGAATGTAAATTAGTTTCACAAATTGATTTACCAAAAGGACTTCAAGAGATTGGATGGGATGCTTTTTGTGCTAATAAAAAAATTACAAGTATTTTCATCCCAGCATCTGTCAAAACAATTGATGAGTATGCATTTTCTTATTGCGATATGCTGACAGATGTTTTGTTTGAACCAGGTTCATCTTTGACAAAATTAGAATTCTTCACTTTTTCTGACACAAAAATTTCATCATTTCAGATTCCTGAAAGTGTAACAGAGATAGATGGTGGTGTTTTTGTTGATTGTCAATTTGTAAATTTATCTCTTCATCCATCAAACAAAAACTTTATTTTAGACAATAATGTTGTTTATTCACATGATAAAACGAAAATCATTTTAATTGGTGACAAACGATTTGAAACATATGATTTTCCAAGTCATGTTACAACAATTGGAGCTTATTGCTTTTATTGTAATCCGAATCTTGTCACAGTTGTAATCCCGAACACTATTAAGAGAATTGAAATTTTTGCTTTTTATTGCTGTGAAAAATTGGAAAATTTCACATTTTTGGGACCAGTTGATTATATTGGAAGTTATAACCTCATCTGTATAAATCTTAAATTAGTTATTTTTCCACCATCTACAATGAAAATAACCTATGAATTTGTTACTAACGATAATCCATTTTCCATGCAATTCACATGTAAAATCATTTTTTATCCAAAAACAATTGAAGTTAATGCAAATATCTCAATCTCATATTATAAAAATACAAATCTAATCATTAATACTAATTCATTGATCATGGACTTTGACCAAACAACTATTTTTGAATTTTGGGGTGATAACTATCAAGACTCTAATCCTGTTTTAATTCCTAAAACTGTTACAAAAATCAAAGAAAATTCATTTCAAAATTCCAGTTTTACAAAACTCCAAATTGATTCAGATTCGGAATTACTCTCTATTGGAAACAATGCATTTTATAACTGCACATCATTACAATCTATCATATTCCCATCCAAACTTACTTTTCTTGGAAATTCATCATTCGAAAACTGCATCCAATTAGAAAATGTTACATTTCGATCTTCTCATGATCTCACTATTATGAAAAATACATTCAAAAATTGTTCTAACCTAAAAAACGTTTTCAATATGACAAATGTTTCAGATTTTTGCTTTTCAGGGTGCGTGAATTTATCTAATATTCTCTTTTTGAATGACGTTGAATCGATTGGGAGGTATTCTTTTGAAGGTTGTACTTCTCTTATTAAGATTAATATTCCATCTTCGATCAAAACAATATCTGATTATGCATTCCGTAATTGCCATCAACTTAATATGATTGTGATTCCATCAATATGTTCTCTTGAAGTATTTTCTATAAGTTCTATTAATGGATGTCTTTCATTGACAAACATCAGTGACTTTCAGTCTAATAAATATAAATGCATTAATAATACTATATATTATAACAATTCTAATTCAAGTCAATTGATGCTGCATCTAAGAAAGTCACTAGATATCGATCTTTTTATTAACTGTGATATCATATGTCAATACTCATTCAGTAATTGTATCAATATTCAAAATATTGTTATTTTATCGAATACAGTTTCATTGATTGAAACATCATCATTTTATCTATGTCCAAATCTTCGACACATCAATTTTCCTCTCTGTGTCAAAACTGTTGAAACTAACTCATTTGTTGACTGCAACAATCTTCGTTGTCCTTTTATTGAAAACAGTTCTAATGCGTATCTTGATATGATTATTCAATCTGGAATTCCAAAAGTGTTAGTAAACAAATGTGAATTCCTTGGAATGACGCATGATTTTAACCGGGCTGAAAATTCTCACTTCGTGATTCAAATTTTATCGCAATTTTTACTAAAAATCCATTTTAAATATATAATTTTAACAGAAAGTTCATTCCTTAATTAATAAAATATTATTTGATACTAATAATTTTTCAATATTCCTTTAAAATTGAGATTATATAATATTATGCATTCTTTATTCACATGTGAATATAATCCATACAAAATGGCTATTGAATATTTATTTAATTTATCTTTGAATAATTATATGTTAATTCGATGACAACTTGAAACGTCTTCATATTAATACTTGGAGAAATTCTTAAGCAAACCTTGTAGCTTTATTTTCACTGTCTATTATATGAGGTTTTTCTCAGTCTTCATCATTTATGTCTCTTGGAGTTCAATGCTATGACACTTTTTAAAACCAAAATTATCTTTATTTTGCCACATCAAATTATTACAATTCCACATTTCTGAAAGAGCGTTGGCGCTATATATCATCAAAGCAAGTAAATCTCAAAAATGTTCTTGATAAATATCTTTTCATTTCCAAAAATATAAGATCTTTTTTTCAAACCAGCTGATTGAACGATCTTATTCGTAAAATACTCGTTATTTACTTGTATAATTCAATTATATTTTTTATTAATTCTGATATAAATCAAAAATAAATAAAAAATAAGACTTAAATTTAAAAATTACGCACTGAAAATGCTTATCATTACTTTTATTACTAATTCAGAATGATAAAATATGATTTTACTCTTTTCTATATTTGTTATTAAAGATATTGACGACAATTCCTATTCAAATGATGGGAAAACACTTAATAGAGTTACAGACAATTCAAGTGAACTCAGAATATCAGCAAAATGCGAAATAATAAATTCAAATTGTTTTAACAATCTACAAAGCTTAGTATCATTTTATTTTCAAGATAATCCGAATTTAACAACAATAAAAAGCTATGGTTTCAAAGAATGCTCAAACTTAAATTTAATTAATTTATCAATTTGTACAAAACTTGTTAAGATTGAATCAGGCGCATTTCAATTCTGCAGACAAGTCAAACAAGTTATATTTCCAAGTGGACTTGCAGAAATTGGTTGGTTTGCTTTTTCAGATAACATGAATATTACAAGTATTTTCATTCCAAAATCTTTAAAAGTACTTGGAAGTTCTGCTTTTGCCAACTGCGACTCATTAAGAGAAGTTTCTTTTGAAGAAGGATCAGTTTTAAAGATTTTAGATTCAGGAGCATTTGGATATACAAATATTTCCTCATTTCAAATTCCAGAGAGTGTAAATTATGTTGATGGAAATTTATTTTATGAGATGCCATTTATAAATTTGTCTATTCATGATTTAAATACAAACCTAATGATTGAAAATAACACTGTTTTTTCAAAAGATAAATCTAAGTTATTTTTGTTTGGTGAAAAACAATTTGATACCTATGATATTCCTTCTTCAATAACATCATTAGAAGATTCGTGTTTTCATTATTCGAAATTAACTTCAATGATAGTTCCAAGTACAATTAAAAGAGTTGGCAGTTTTGTATTTAGTTCATCAAAAAATTTGAAGAATGTAACATTTTTAGGACCTTTAGATTATATCGGGTATAGTATAGTGGACTCCTGCACAAATCTTGAATTTATTTCTTTTTCAGAAATAAGAATGGTAATATCTAAACTCTTTATCCCAAAGAATTCTAAGTTTCGGATATATTTCTCTTCCAAAACCCTTTTCGGAGTAAAAACTATAATGGAAATTGTAAACATTTCAATATCAGATATGAATTATGTTATTGACACAAATTCATTGGTAATGGACTTTGGCCAAACAATAATATATGAATTTTGGGGATCTCGCTATAATTATTTTCAAAATGGGATAAATATTCCTCGAACAGTAACAACTATTAAAGAAAATACATTTGTGAATGCTGATTTTTTAAAAATCCGGTTTGATTTAAACTCAGAATTACAAGTCATTGAGGATAATGCATTCATAAACTGCTCTTTATTGCAATTCATAGTGTTTCCTTCTAAACTAAATGTTATTGGAGCTTCTTCCTTCAAGGATTGCATTAAACTAGATAATATTACATTCCTATCAAAAACCACTACAGTTGTTAGTAATGCTTTTGAAAACTGTAGTGGATTAAAGAATGTTTATAATATGACAAACGTTCCAAATTTTTGCTTTTTTGGATGCACGAAATTGTCTAATATTAAGTTTCAGAATAGTGTTGATACAATTGGAATAAATTCATTTAATGGATGCTCATCATTGACATCGATTAATATTCCATCATCTATAAGAATAATATCTGAATATGCATTCCATAACTGCAATCAACTCAGTTCAATTAACATTCCTTCGACATGTAATTTAAAGACATTTGCTCTCAACTCAATTGAAGAATGTGAGTCACTTCAAAATATCAGTGACTTTCAAAGTAGTAAATATGAATGCGCATTGAATACCATCTATTTCAGTGAGGATGAAAATAAGAAACAATTGATCTATCACTTAAGTAAGTCAATTGATGAGAAAATTATCATTAAATGCGATATTATCTGCAAAAACTCATTTGTTGACTGTAACAATGTTGTCAACATCAGTCTTTTGCCTAATGGTGTTTCAATGATCGAAACTTCCTCATTCTATCGATGCATTAACTTGAAATACATCAATTTTCCTTATTCTGTTGAAACAGTTCAATCTCTATCTTTTGTTGAGTGCAACAATCTTCGTTGTCCTGTAATTGAAAACCAAACATTTGAGTATCTTGAAATGATATTACAATCTGGAATCTCTAAAGACCTTCTTAGTTCATGCCACATAATTGGAATTACAAATGATTTTCATGATTCCTTCTCTTTTTTTGATTGTGCATATATTCTTACCTTATTCATATTGACAAAGATATAAATTCAAAAAATAAAAACATACTATTTTAAAAAGCATTTGTATTAATGCAGAGAATTATAATTTCTAATATTTAAGTTAACAAACTCAAATTTAATAAATTTTTAATTTTGAAAGGGGATAGATTTAGAAACAATCCCATGAAATATGAAAGTCTGCCATAGAATTCAATTGTTAACTCGATTTTATTCGAACCTTCACATCGAGCATTGGAGAGTCTAAATTTTTTTTTTAAATTTGACAGCCAATTTTAATTTTAAAAACAATTTTTTGAATTTATCTAAGTGTCGGTTGCAATTTAATGGATCCAGATTCCTATGAAGATCATTTATCTTCATAGGAATCAAGCAATGAAGTGGCTCATCAATAATTTGTCCTTTTATTTGCAATCAGATAATTTTTTATACAATTTTTATTCTCAAGAAGGCTTGTTTGTAAGTTTTATACATGATAAATCAACAAATACCATATCAAAATTAGTAAATGTTGATTTTTCTGTAAAATATTACAATCAAACTACAACCTGCAAGTTAAACAAAGCATTACTACATTTATTCGTATTTTTACTATATTTTATTGCTTATTACTGCTTTTTAATTATCAAAAAATATACAAAAGTAAGTTTAATTTATGATTTTCATTTTTTCCCTCTTTGTTGTCAATGATATTGACAGTAGTTGTTATTCAAGTGATGGTAAAACTCTTAACAAAGTCTCTGACAATTCATCCGAACTCAGAATTTCTGCACGATGTGAAACAATTAGTGATAATTGCTTTAAAGGTCTTAAAAGTTTAATTTCATTTTATTTTGAAGACAATCCAAATTTAACAAGTATTGGTGTAAATGCTTTCAGAGAATGCTCAAATCTTCAATCAATCAATTTATCATCTTGTACAAAATTAAAAACAATTGGACAAGATGCTTTTTATGAATGTAAATTAGTTTCACAAATTGATTTACCAAAAGGACTTCAAGAGATTGGATGGGGTGCTTTTAATTATAATGAAAAAATTACAAGTATTTTCATCCCAGCATCTGTCAAAACACTTGGTGAGTTTGCATTTTCTAGTTGCTCTATGCTGACAGATGTTTCGTTTGAACCAGGTTCATCTTTGACAAAATTAGAATTATGGACTTTTGCTTACACAAAAATTTCATCATTTCAGATTCCTGAAAGTGTAACAGAGGTAGATGGTGATGTTTTTGGTGGTTGTCAATTTGTAAATTTATCTCTTCATCCATCAAACAAAAACTTTCTTTTAGACAATAATGTTGTTTATTCACTTGATAAAGCAATAATTATTTTAATTGGTGACAAACAATTTGAAACATATCATTTTCCAAGTCATGTTACAACAATTGGAGCTTATTGCTTTGATTATAATTCTAATATTGTCACAGTTGTAATCCCGAACACTATTAAGAGAATTGAAAACTCTGCTTTTTATTGCTGTGAAAAATTGGAAAAATTCACATTTTTGGGACCAGTTGATTATATTGGAAGTTATAACCTCATAAGCTGTAGAAGTCTAAAATTAGTTATTTTTCCACCATCTACAATGAAAATAACCTATGAATTTGTTACTAACGATAATCCATTTTCCATGCAATTCACATGTAAAATCATTTTTTATCCAAAAACAATTAAAGTTAATGCAAATATCTCAATCTCAGATTATGAAAATACAAATTTAATCATTAATACTGATTCATTGATCATGGACTTTGACCAAACAACTATTTTTGAATTTTGGGGTGATAACTATCAAGATCTTAATGTTTTAATTCCTAAAACTGTTACAAAAATCAAAGAAAATTCATTTCAAAATTCCAGTTTTACAAAACTCCAAATTGATTCAGATTCGGAATTACTCTCTATTGGAAACAATGCATTTTATAACTGCACATCATTACAATCTATCATATTCCCATCCAAACTTACTTTTCTTGGAAATTCATCATTCGAAAACTGCATCCAATTAGAAAATGTTACATTTCGATCTTCTCATAATCTCACTATTATGAAAAATTCATTTAAAAATTGCTCAAACTTAAAAAGCGTTTTCAATATGACAAATGTTCCAGGATTTTGCTTTTCAGGATGTAATAAGTTGTCAAATATTCTCTTTTTGGATGGTGTTGAATCAATTGGAAGAAATTCATTTCAAGACTGTTCATCTTTGACTTCTCTCAGTCTTCCTTCATCTATCAAATCTATATCTGATTACTCATTTTGTAATTGCAAATCTCTTAGGACAATAATTATTCCTTCATCATGTCAATTAGAAAGTTTCCAACTTAATTCAGTTAAAGGTTGTGATTCACTTCAAAATATCAGTGACTTTCAAAGTAGTAAATATGAATGCGCATTGAATACCATCTATTTCAGTGAGGATGAAAATAAGAAACAATTGATCTATCACTTAAGTAAGTCAATTGATGAAGAAATCATCATTAAATGCGATATTATCTGCAAAAACTCATTTGTTGACTGTAACAATGTTGTCAACATCAGTCTTTTGCCTAATGGTGTTTCAATGATCGAAAAATCTTCATTCTTTCGATGTATTAACTTGAAATACATCAATTTTCCTTATTCTGTTGAAACAGTTCAATCTCAATCATTTATTGAATGCAACAGTCTCCGCTGTCCAGAATTTGAGAACAAAACAGATACCTATCTTGAAATGATCATTCTCTCTGGTTTCTCGAGAAAACGTCTGAATTCATGCCATGTTAAAGGAGTTACAAATGGACTTAATCCCATCAAAAATTTCTTCTACCACAAGTTACAAATGGACTTAATCACAATCATTATAAATTGATTATAAACTATTACGTTTTTTTTAACACATTAAATTCCTGTTGAATTTGAGTTTAAGCATAGGATGTTCAAGTACCCATGAACATTTAATTATTGGATTAAAATGTTTATGATTGGCATAACATATAAATCTATATTTTTACAAACAAAACAATATAATTATATATTAAAAGTTCATTGATGTACTGATCTCATGAGGTGGCATTTCTTCTTCCATTTGCATTGGCTCAAGCTCAATTAGACAGTCGGACCAAATGTGGAATATGAACTTTGACTCATTTTCATCTGCATCTCTTGTTAATGCCAATGTCCATGGTTTTTGTGTGTCTTCGATGCTCCAATCAAAACTTTCCATTGGCCAATTTCCTGGACAGAAATCCGAGCGATTCTTTATTCCACTCCACATTCTATCAATGAATTTTCCGCCATTGTAACACATAACAGCTCTAATTTTTGTGTTTGCTCCTGTTCTTTCTAGTAGACAATGAAGAATTGTTGGAGATCTCACTCTCAACAAATAGTTTTGAACGTGTGTCAAGTCTGGGCTTTCTTTCGAATAAGGATTTGCTCCGTCATATTTGTTCTTGCAAAATGATGAAGAAAGCTTGATATAAAACTTATCTTTCATTTTATCTAATACATACAAAGTTCTAAAATTAAGCAAGAAATCTTTGAAATTCATCCAGAACTCTCCATCATCTTTATTTTCTTGCTTCAATTCTCTTGTTATATCTTTATGTAGATCCCAGAGATTTGATGTATCACTCCAATCCCCATTCCATTCTCCTTCTCCCCATGGATTTCTCAGTTTAATTAATTTGAAATTTTGTATTTCTACAACATCAAGAATTGTATAAGCATGGCCTAAAATAACACCATGTTCATTTTTATCAGTATCAGATCCAGAATTAGATCCACAACATAAATAACCTCCTGTTTCTTTTATCTTTATCATTTTCTTCCATAAGTTTCCATTGACAATTTCTTCTTTAACTTTATCATCCTCGAAAATAAACTGAAATGGCTGACCGAAATCAAACAAAAACAAAGCTCTGTGACATTGCCCGCCATCAATTGCAGTATAAGAACCATTCAGTTTCGCCCAACTTTTCAATTCTGAGAAACTGCAGCCAAAAGGATAAAAGTTTTTGTCTTCGTATTTGTTGTTGAAAAGCGATTTCAATATTTGACCATACTCATTTGATAAGTTCTTAAGAACTTCATCTTGTACAATCTGCCTTTTTTCATCTTGTTTTTCAACAAAATTTTCATATTTTGTCACTTTTTGTTTGTTTGGTTTTTCAAAATTTTCAATTGCTTTGTAAATATTAAATAGAGAAACTCTTTCTTTCAAAGAATATTTCTTTTCTAAGTCTAAATATTTCCATGATGTTCCATTCTTTGCAAGATAATTCTTAATACTATCTATAATGACATTAAAGTTCACTTCACCTGTAATATATAACTGACCACGTAAAATTGAAGCAAAAAGTGACTTTGAATTTGAAATTTCAGTTCTTCTATCAACGTAATTCATAAAACTTTCATAATCTGAAATCTCCATTTCTTCCATTTCGCTGCCAAAATTAACAGAAACAGTTTTAATTGTCTTGCCAATGCAATAATTAATATTTTTCTCATCTAAAACTTCAAGAGCTTGAATTGCACCACAATCAAAATCTGTCAAATTCACAAAAACAATGAAAGTAAATAAAGAATAAGCAGCTACTTGAGCAAGAATTCCAAACCATGGGTAAATGAAGAAAACACTTGAGAATACTCCCCATATCCAAGCAGCAGCAAAACTAATGGAGAAAAACAATCCGAAAAATGGTAAATTTTTGACTTCACCTCCCTTCAATTTTCTGACAGGGAAATAAATGTTTGTAAATATAATTCTTCCTGCTTTCTCAGAACTCATTGTGGAAATCAATAAATAACAAAATGAAGTAATAAAAAGTGTCATACAAATTGATGTCAAACTGATAAAAGTGGATTTTGCCACATAAATAAAACAAAACAAATCTAAAATTTCTAAAACAACTAAAACTGCTAAAACAATTATTTTTGAATACTTGTAAACTATGTCAGAATTTTGTTTGACAAAAAAGTAAACTGTTGATAAAAATACCAGAACAGAGAAGAAGAACAAAATACAACTAGAAAGAGGATAAAAAATAAATAAAATAACCGCTAAAACCGTTATTATTCCTGCTGGAATTGCAATGAAGTATAAATTGATTTTCTCAATGACTAAACCTTTCCTTGTAACTAAAACTGCTTGCCAAATAATCGAACAAACCCATAGAATTAGAATAAAAACCGACAAACCGATTAAAACAGTTTTATACTCTAAACACGAGAAAATTAAGAAAGAAATCCAACTTATTATCGATGCCATTCTCCAGAACCATTCATAAGACTTATTTTCCTCTGAATTTTCTTCTCTGCTTTCTATAAAATAGGAATAAAACGATAAAAGTGACATCAAAAGTGACAAAACATAACAACCTCCAAATTTTGTTTCACCAAGAAAAGGGAGAACAATCAAACAAATCATAGAAGCCAAAATAGACAAAATCAACAAACCATAAATATAATGGCCGAAAATCAATCCTCTAAATGTATCATTTCTTATATGAACATTTAATATTCTTCTGGAAACTAAATATCCAGAAAGAATCGAATAAAGAGAAGCACCATAAACACCAAGATCACCACTACGAAAGTCAACAGCAAACATAAAACCAATCCATACAATAACATCACAAACAATTTCAATAAGAGGGGGAATTGAACTCAAATCTGCAATTTCAAAATTATTCGAATCAATTTGCCATAAAGAAATTGTAAAACTTGTTGCAATTGTCAATATTATAAAACCAATCAGCATATGTCGTTGAGAAATCGTATAATTTGCTGTTATTCCTATCTCTTCCATGTCACTAAGATCTAATGCATCTAATTCACATATCAAAGCTACTAAATAAACAATAAAAATTAAAGATGAAATTATTAATTCTGTTGTTGACACGTGATTGACATCTGTGTTCATATTATCAATTGTGTTCCTTACATCTTCATCAATATTTTCCATTCCTTCGAATTCATTATCAATTTTTGTAAATTTATTAAATATCCAAATTAAAATTCGAGTTAAATAGAATGTTCCAACGAAAAAGAAGATCAGTCCATGACCAGCCATCCAAAATCTAGAAGAAAATGAGATTGCGACCGCTTTGATAGCGAATCCAATTAATAATAAAATAATATTATTGAGATTTGATATAGAAAATGTGATTGTTAGTATAATAGAAGCATCTACAATGAATGAACCAACAGATGTCGCTATTGTTGCTGACTTTTGTGTTGCTGTTTTATCCCAATAAAAATAAAATAACAAAGAACAAGCGGCAGACACGGCCAATGATATTCCCATGCCAAGATATTTCATTAGTCCTGTAGAATACTTGCCTCCTTCTATCCAATTTTCGTAGTTTTTCTGTGAAATATCATTTATAAAAGTTTTAATCGAATCTTCTGATTTTGTCATCTCCATCATTTCATTTAACTTGAACTTTTCGCGAGTATAGCATTGATAGAAGCCGTAGAAGACTAAAATTGGCCAAATTATCAAATATCCACCTGCCATCCATGATTTTTCGCTAATCATGAATGCGTCAACGAATGTTAATGCAATTAGTAGTATACCAGCGCAACCAATTGTAATTTTGACCGATTTTGAAATCTTAAAACCGTTATTTTCGAAATTTAGGAAACCTAATAGAAGAATTAGTAAAGCAGGAGGTGCAATGATTAAGTCAATTCCAAGTACTGGATAATCAATTGATAAAAAAGTGTTAATTCCCCAGCCAATGCATAATAAAAAAGGTAGCGCATAAACGAACCACCATATGTATTCTACTATGCTTACTTTGAAGTCGGTAACTTCTGTTTCGAGAAAATTAGCTATGGCGTACTTTCGGAGTAAAATAGGTCTCCATTTGAAGAATTTTTGCAGAATAATGGCCCAAACTATGACAACTACAAGAAACGGAATTCCCCACTGCAAACATATTGTTCCAAATGTTTGCCGAGGGAAATCTTGTATTGAAATTGATGCCATTTAGTGAAAAAAGTGACAATAAGATATTTAAATAATTCCTTTAAAAATATTACTTATGAAAGTATGATTAAGATTATGAAAATTTTTGTCAAATTAAGAAAGGCTGGGCGGTTAAGAATTGAAAAAATCCTTACATTTGAGTTTTTGAAAGAAAACAATAGATTGTAAGAATGGATAACCTTGGTTCATATATTTCAAGAAATTGCAATTGCCATTAGTTTTAATTACAAGGATTAAGGAGTATCTATTCATTTAGATGTTGGGAAGAAATATCTCCTCAAACTATCAAAAGACTAGTAATTTTAAAGAAAATGTAACCGACCATAGCTCAGTTGGAAGAGCATGGGACTGTAGAATTGTGGTTATCCCGGGGTCACTGGTTCGAATCCGGTTGGTCGGATTACTTTTTAAAAAATTCAATATCACTCAAGTTATTCCTCATTGAATATTTATATTTTTATTAATTCGGAAGTTTCTCGGTGCTCATTTTCTCAGTAACCTTAGGTGCTATTCCTTATCGAGTTATTTATTCTGATAAATTAACCAATCATGAAAAATTAAATTTTGGCTATCATTATAAAGAGATCATGTGGGGTACCGTGAATATCTATCTGACCGAAATTCTCCCATTCAGCTGATTTGAATCCGTTATTTAAGAATTCTTGGCAGAATTTTTCTGGAACAAAACCACGATGAGGAACATTTGGACGAGGTATTCCATCGTCAATAATTTCTAGTACAATAACATTTGCGTTTTCATTTAAATGACTGGGGAGAATTTTAATAACTGAAAGATAGTCATCAATGTGATGAAAAGATAATGAAGCAATAGCCAAATCAAATTTTTCTCCGTGGTATTGTTCAATTGGCTGATCAAAATATTCATAGTTTGTGGTTTTAAGTTCTGTCATAATATCGCAAACAGATTTCTTTGATTTTTCAGTTACGTCTAAAAATGTAACTGTCTTTACTTCATTTATAATGCTTGATCCTGTGCAACCAAGGCCACATCCCAAATCAAGTACATGAATATCCTTTGAAAGAACTGCTTTAGATCTTAATACTCCGATAAACTTCTCTGTTCTTAAGATTGTAGGCTCCGGTACTTCAAATTTCTTAAAAACTTGATCGATTTGGTTTGCCATATAAAAAATTATTTTTAAAATTCTATTAATTTAATGAATTTTGGGCATACTCTAGCAGGTTTTTCATTAATCATTGTTAATATAAAAGGCTCAAATTTTACAACCTTGACTGACCTGCCGACGTTGGATAAAACCGATTTTCATTTTTTTTGAGCAAATTATATTAGTTAAAGTCCAAATTAGTAAAATGCTGAATCCCAATTTTTCTTTTAAATTTTCACCGGGTTTGAATATATTCAAAATTCATTGCTGAAATTTAATTTAATGTTTCTATATAATAGATTTATTTTTTAATTTTTAAACTCTTGAATTCAAAAGATTTTGCGCAATTTCAATTTTTCAATTTAACGTATCGTCATTGTTTTTTGGTATTGTCTTTGTTTATATATACTGAACTGAAATACTTTATTTTGATATCTTCGGAGATAATTCTGAGGCTCAGAAAACAAATATTGTCATGGTCAAGAATAATGAATACCTCCAAGTGCTATTCAAAGTTATTGACGATGATGGGAATGGCTTCCTTGATAAGGATGAAGTTAAAGATTTCTTCAAACAGCTCGGCTGTAGTGATTATTACTCAAATACTTTTGCACAGCTTTTTGTTGGAATAATTGGAGGAGCTGATAATAAAATATCAAATGCAGAGCTAACGTTTGCATTTAGGAACGCAGAGAGTTGGGAAATTAAACAAATCCATAATAGAGAGGTTATCGATTTTGTAATTTAATCGTCGTCGTTATCGATTTTGTAATTTAATTGTTATTGTTTTTTCTAAACGTGCATTTTTACATTAAAAGCAATGCAACTCCAAAATTAATTGGTATTTAGACTTTAATTAGGTGCAGACAAACGAAATGCAGTCCAAATATTTTGGTGATATATGAATTACATAAATTTAGGGAAATTGAAATTATATCTTTTTAAATTTTTAGGAAAACAGATTTATAGAATTGTTTAAGTCATCAAAATAATGCAGACTTAGGTCAAATTTTCCAAATTTAATCATTTGCAAGACTTTCAAGCGACTTCAAAATGTCGAAATATAAGTCCAAAAATAAAATTACGATTACAGTCTATCCTCAATTATTATCACGCTAATTATTGAGTGACCCATGCGTTCGTCTTCTTCTTGTGTATCGTATGCCATAAAGAGCGCAACGTCACCGTCACCGCTGAAAACTTGAAATCTACATGCATCATTACCAGGTTTGCATTTATATTTATGGCCGAAGACTAAGTCATCAAAATCATTGTAGTCTGTGTAGGCCAAAAGGAACTGCCAAAGCATGTATATTAATCAATTTAAAATGCTTCTAAAAATTCTTTGAATTTTTTTGAACTTTACATTTTAATTAACCAATTTTACAGGTATAATATAATGTATCGTAAAAGGATATGATAATCCTGCTGTAGACATCTGATCAAAGAATATACAATGAGTTATCTTTGGAATAAATGGCAATAAATACAAATTTTACGCTGTAATAACTTTTCAATCATTTGAATGGTATTCAATGGCGATTCTGGATGAGTTAAGCAAAAGGTACATTCACTATTTTTGACAAAATTTTAAATTTTCATGGGGTTGTAAATCTTATAATAACTAGATGAATAAGGAATGAATCCCAGTATAATGTGCATCATTATATTAAACACTATATGTAAGGCTAATGATTCTATTAACACTTATGAAGATCTATAGTATTTGAGCAGATAAATTTGATAATTTCCAAAACTCTTATATTTCAAAATTAAAGTGTGCGAATGCATTTAAATGAGAGCAAAAAGATATTGATGCTGTTAAAACTAGGTGTTAATTTGCAATTATTTCGCATCACAAGAACTACCCAGTAAATTCGGCTATCTTTCTTTGCAATTATTCTCCATTATACATATAATATAATGGTTAGGGTTTGAAGAAAAGTTACTAGAGAATTATTGACTTTTGAAATAATGCAGAATTTTACTTGAAGAAATCATTAATTTATGAGTTCCAAATTGCTAAGCATGACGAAGGATCATTAAATTTGCTACAATTAAATACACTTATTGCAGAATTAAGATTTTTGAAATTAAAAGTTTGAAATATTGCCTTTTTGAATAAAAATTTAAATTTTATTATATAATCATGATAATATCTTATAGAAATTAAAAGAAAATATTTTAAACCATTCAAATATTTTGAATGTCTTATCAATTTAAAATATTAAAAGATAGCTTGATTTTATCATCATTAGTTGTTATCAAAGTTTTCTTCTTTTGATGAACAACAGTAAATGATTTGTTAATTGCTTGTCTTCCTTTTTCGCAGCAAAATCGAAAGTTATGATGATAATCTTGCTGTCAATTTTGAAACTCTCTGATTTACAAGTAAGCATTCCTTTGGAAAAGCAGTCCTATTCTGTTTTCAAGATATTTTAAAGCCTCCATTTCATACAATGCGCAGATCTATTCGAAATTGCAAGAACTCTCAAGAAAAATGCAGCAGCAAAGAAGATTCCATAGTTTCTAGCATCAAAAATTTACAACCTTAATACAACAGTTAAAGAGAAGCTCGAAAAGAAAATATTTAACCATAAAGCTGGAAACCATTCGATATCTACTATTGGATCTAATAAAAAGTTAATTATAACATATTTAACATGCTATTTGTTGACTTTGTTCCATTATATTACCATATATATCTTTTTGAAATCTAAAATATTTTTATGATTTTAACCATGTGTTGTTGAAACCATATATCAATCTTAGCTAAAGTATGGTTTATGAGTCTGTCACCATCTAACGTATGAATTTTCAAAAATGTCAAATATGTTCATTTTTTCTGTAGATTCAGCCATAATTTCACGTTGTTATACTATTCAACTATTATTTAATATTTTTATCAATTTAAATATATGATGAGATGCTTAGTTCTCCTGGAAATCGATTTTTAATCGGAATTTTAACTTTCCAAAAAAATTCAAAAATAAAAATCCCTCTCAATTTTCTAAGTTTTATAACTCGCCAAATCTCTAGCCAAATTTTTTTGGCCCGTATAAATATTGTTAGGCACTATATAGGGATGCTATTTATCCTATTTTCATCCCATTTTACTGTTATCGCCTAGTGAATGTACCTTTGTTAAGCATCGTAATTATATTGCTTATAAAAGTAATATAATAACTATTTAAAAAAAAAAAAAAAAAAAAGGTATTGGGGCTTCCAGGGCTGCGCCCCTCTAGCCCCTGAAGATGTTTAGTATAACAAGTAAGGGTCTATCGTCGCTACGTCACCAGGTCCCTCGGTCCCTCGGTCCCTCGGTTAAACCAACTTCTCTGAAAAAATGAGACAACATGACATTTTGACAACAGTCCAGGAAGTCTTAACAAGATAGAATATGAGAGAGGTCCTATAAACCGGAGAAAGTGTCATATAAACATCTGTCAAAAACCTTAACCGAGTAGTTTTCATGTTTTGTCACTTTTCTGTCACTTTTCAGGGAAAAAACATTTTTATTAAATATAAAATGAATTTTACAAAACCACCGCTACCCTTCTTTGGAAATAAGAGTAGATGTAAAGATATTCTATTGAGAGAACTTAAGAAACTACCGAATGGTCTAACATTTGTAGATTTGTTCGGTGGAAGTTTCTATATATCTCATTTGTGCCATACTGTATTTCCTGACTCAAAGATTATATGCAATGACTTCGACAACTATATGAACCGTCTCAAACATATACCAGACACAAACAAAATATTGAGTGAGTTGAAAGAAAAGATACCTATAGGTAAGATGGAACGTATACCATTAGATAAGAAAAATACTGTCAGAGAGGTTTTGAAAAAAGCAGAGTATATTGACTGGGATAGTATATCTTCTAGACTATTATATAGTGGTGCTATAAGAGTTCATGACATTGAAACACTTATGTCAAAAGTTTTATATCTTAACTATACAAAGGTTTTCAAAGAGAACATAGAAAAATATACTGAGGGTATAGAGTTTGTGAGATGTCGTTGGACAGAGTTGTATGAAAAATATAAAAACAAGGAAAATGTTTTCTTTATAGTGGACCCGCCGTTCTATAACACATGGGATTTTCAATACCAAGTAGACTGGACTTTGAGAGACTCTTTAGAAACTTTAGACGTTTTACATAACCATCCATGCTTTTACTTTACATCCGATAAAAGTGGTTTGGAAAGTGTTATGAGATGGTTAGAGGACATACATGACTATGAGTTTAGATATGACAAGATAGAATATGAGAGAGGTCCTATAAACTGGAGAAAGTGTCACAACAAAGAAATTTTATTGGTAAGTAAATGTGGTTTGAAATAGGACTACTTGTTTTAGGTTTTTTCCATTGTGTCATTTACTTATTTGACGTGGCAGAAAGATATAGAGAATATGAAGATGAACCAATGCCAGCAAATGTTCAGTATATGTACTCGTAAGAGATATTTTTATCTAATATTAAATGGACGCACAGAACTTAGCGAATGCACAGCAACCTGGACAACCAAACCCAGAGAATATTCCAAATGAAGTTAGAATACAAACTGCAATGGCAAACTATGGTCAAGTGCCAACAGATGTACAAATGCAAACTGCCATGTCAAATGACGCTGCGTTAGGCTTACCACCATGGTATGCAAATATGAGATGGAAAGAGTTTTATACAAACCCCGAAGTGGGATATAAACAACTCTATGCAGATGACGCGAACACAGGAGTTGACCCGGAATATGTTCTACCAGAGGAGAAACACAGAATGTATGAGCTCCAGTTAAAGAATGCTATGGAACTCAACAGAAACGTAAGAGACTAGGCGGACATTAGATTTTTACATATAGTAAAATGGGTTTCTTCAGTAGTATTGGAAACTTCTTCAGAAGAGTTGGAAGAGGTATATGGAATGGAATAAAAACCGTAGGAAGAGGAATTTGGAACGGAGTCAAAAATATTGTAAAAGAGTAGGTCAGTTCGTTGGTATTATACCTAAAGACCCTGAACCAGAAGAACAAGCTCCTGTTATACAACAGCCTGAACCTGCACCACAGTCAAGTTGGCAACCAAATCCAACACCTCAACCGTATTAAAATATATTTTTTACCGTTCGATAGTAGTTGTATATGAGACTAAGTTCTAAGTAAAACGCATGGTATAATGGAACTATTCTCTTCTTTCCATCTGTTGTAAACCATACTTGAAAGTCTGAAATACTTCCACTCGGTGGTTCATATAGCTTTGTAGGTTTTTCGTAAAAGTCATTTGCCAAGCATAAAAAAGAGTTTTGGGCGCCAGAAAATGAAGCATGAACTATAATAGCATCTGAGTCGAAAAACATTTTCATATGTTCCATTAGGGTTTCGACTTCATAAAAGTTCGGGTGTACTGGATATTCTGCAGGCTGATTTAACATCCTCAAAAAATCTATACCATGCCAAGTTGTTATATTTTGTAGAAATATAACGTCTTCTCCAAGGTCTTCTATTCTATTGATTTTAACAGTTGCATTTTTCCTGTCATATATAAAATCGAGATGGTACTCTCCTTCGTCAATGTTGTACTGTTTTGCATATTCGAGATAGATATCGTTTATTTTTTCTTGAAAAGCTTGAAGAGTTGTTTCTAAGTTTACAAGCAAAATTCACTTGTAAAAGTTTCCCTGTTCAAATTTCTCATACGTACGTTTTTCTTTGTTATAGTATCGAATTTCAAAAGCGACCGTAAATGGGAAACCATGTATGGCTTCTGAAATGAACTTCATTCTACGAAAGCCAATAGCTTTTGTGACGGATGGGTCTCTTAACCATCTTAACGGGTAGTCAAAACGATAGCCTTCATGTTTTACGGTCTCTGTCTCAAACTTTTGACCGACATTAGTAAAAAGTTCATCTAATGGTTTAGTTGTAGCAACTCTTGAATTTTCTTTTTCTATTGAAAGCATATTTTATCTATAATAAAAATGTCAAATGAAACAGCGTCTATGAGAGAAATACAACACAACCGACAACTCATTATGCAAGCTCTAAATAAGAACACAACAAACTTTTCAAACTATTCTAAGATATCTGAGTCATTGAAAGGGGGTGACTTAAAACTGACATTAAACCCAATGACAGATGAGTTTCTGTTTCAAGACAGTAAGAACCATACTGTCTGTGTAAATCCAACAAAAGGAACTTTAAACGAGAAACCTATAAAAGAACTTCTTTTGAAAGCAGATGTTGACAACAAAGCTGACAAAGAGTATGTCATTGAAAAAGTTCAAGAAGAACATGACAGAGCAGATGCAACATATGCAACAAAAGAACATACTCATCCTGAACTAGCAGACAAAACATATGTTGACAATAAAATGTCAAGTGAAGTGACAAGAGCTGAAAACGAATATTCTAAAAAGACTCATATACATACCATTGCAAATATTACAAACTTACAAGAAACCTTAAACAGGAAAAGTGACGTTGGACATATACATACCATTGCAAATATTACAAACTTACAAGAAACCTTAAACAAGAAAAGTGACGTTGGACATACACATACCATTGCAAATATTACAAACTTACAAGAAACCTTAAAAGGAAAAGTGACGTTGGACATACACATATCCATTGCAAAATATTACAAACTTACAAGAAACCTTAAACAGGAAAAGTGACGTTGGACATACACATACCATTGCAAATATTACAAACTTACAAGAAACCTTAAACAAGAAAGTGACGTTGGACATACACATACCATGCAAATATTACAAACTTACAAGAAACCTTAAACAGGAAAAGTGACGTTGGACATACACATACATCTTCTGAAATAACAGACTTAAACGTTAGCCTTGAAAAGAAGGCAGATAAGAACCATACACACGATTTCTTCGCAACTGTTGGTATAGAAAATATTGCAGGAACGGTTGAAGAACCTGATGGAACTGGTGGGATGCATTGTATTGGAAACCTCCTAACTTTCCACAAGGTTTAACATCGGAGGATGACATAACGACGATGAAATACACTAGATGTAGAAATGTCTATGTCATGGAGGATGAAAACAAAGTTAAATTCACTGCTCAAGATTTATATGATAAAAAGCTGACAAAACATATGTTAAATGAGTTAGATAAAAAAGCTGACAAAACAGAGTTACTGACAAAACAGAGCTTCAAACGTTAAAGACAGAAATACTTCAAACACTATATCCTATAGGTTCTATTTACACGTCAATGAACTCTACCAGACCAGAAGTAGTACTTGGTTCGGAACTTGGACTCAAATAGTCGACAGGTTTTTGTATTGTGCAAACTCTTCAAAGGAAACAGGTGGAAGTAAAACGATTTCAGGTGAAATTACCTGCGCACAGTCACTACATAGATTTAAGTACATCTGAAGCAGGTTGGCATAAGCATAGATTTTGGGATTGGTCAGGAATGAAAAAAGGTAAAGGATATGATGTTAAAGACGACGTTAAGTTTGCTATAAATTGTTACTGGAGTAACACTAGGGAGAGGAAACCATACACATCGCGTTTCAGGGTATACGCAAACAACGGGACAAAGTAAAGACTACATGCCACCTTACATGACAGTTTACGCATGGTATAGAAATGCTTAGTCGTCATTTTCAACTTCTTTAGCATATTCGTCAGGAGTTGTCTTATATTTGTTAGGAACTGTCTTTGAAAGTATACCACCTTGAACTTTGACAAGTTTGAAACGAGGTCTGACAATAGTAGTTTTATCTTCTGCTTGCAGTCTGTACATTTTGCCATGTTTGCCTAAAACTTCATAATATTCTCTTGTATACTTTCTTCTATTTTTACGAACACGAATGTGAGTACCTGTCGAGTTCCCATTGTTGTCATAGTCAATAGTATTTTCATATGGGTCGCGTTTAGGTATTTCTATTTTTACTTTGTCACCTTTCTTAAGTTTGAAGCCTGGCATTCTTTCTTGTTTGTCTCTTTTGACTAAACTATTAAATATATAGTCTTTCTCTAAGTCAGGGTTGTTTTTCATTTCTTCGGGGGAGTGGTTTCCCAAACCTTTTTGTTTACGGCTATTGTAAATATTTAAAACTTGTCTCATCTTTGCCATGGAGAAGTGTCTATATTGTCGTCATATGACATTTCATCTACCTCACCACCTTGTGGTTGATTTAAGTCTCTTAAGATTTTTATACAACTGTCAATGACACCAAGAGCAGAATGGTTTTGGTCGACAATGAAATATTGGTTTACATTTTTTGAACGCAGATAGTTTTTAATATCGTCTGATTTGAAAGAACTTTCACAGTCAGATGTCAGTTTTGTTGGATGGTATTTGTCAACGAATATTGTCAAAGCAGTTTTCACATCTAAAATATTTTTGGACCATAATGGTATGGCTTCACAGTATCTTGTGTTTTGACCACAAATATTAGCCAGTATGGTGGTCCATCTTCTCTATACCTCGGAATGTTTTCCAAGATATCCATAAACCAAGCATTTGGTGTTGAACTAAAGATTTTTACCATGAGTGCTTTCTTTGTTGCTTAGAAACATACGGGTCCTTGTTTGAATTCGTCATTTTTAACCCATAAGAAATGGGTTTATTTGGCGCATTAGCAGGAGTCGCATCTAGATTTTTACCCGCAGTGGGAACACTAGCCAGAGGTGCATTTGGAATTGGAAGGAAGATTTTGAGTACATTAGGTATACTGAAAGAGAAAGCACAACCTATTATACAAACTGTACAGAAAGGTTGGGAGGTAGCACGAGATGCAGCAAATCTTATTCCAAATCCTGAAACAAGAGGAAAAGTTCAAGGATGGATGGACAATGTAGGAAGACAAGCAGGAAACTACTATAACAAAGCAAATGACTACTATAACCAAGCAGGGCACTATATGGACCAAGGTGAAAGATTCTTTAACAGAGGATATAACCATGCACAACAGTGGGTAAACAACAACCAACCTCAACCGCCTCAAACGTGGGGAATGTA